CTGCAAGTGACAGAAAACCCCATTTGAAATTATATAAAGAGAGAAATTTATCACTTCATATAAGAAGAAGTCTACAGGTAGGGCAACTTCTGGAGTTGCTGATTTCACACAACGACTTTAATAAAAGACACCACAATACATAGACTGAGAGGCTTGGAAGCAAGACTGTTGGGTTTTTATCCCAGCTCTTCCACTTGCTGGGTGTGTGAAACTGAGCAAGTTACTTATCCTATTTATGCCTCAGGTTCCTCTTTTGAAAATGGTTATATTAATAGTATCTATCTCATAGGATTGGTGTAAGGATGAAAAAAGTTAACACATGTAAAATATCCAGTATGTGTTGATATTACCAAAAGCCTAGGTTCTTTCTGTTTTTCTTTTCTGTCACCCTCAGCATGTTAACTTTATCCTCAGTCTTGAGGCCGCATGGTCACAACATAGCTGCAGTAACTCCAGGCATCATATCCAAGAAGACCAGAGGTAGAAGAAACTAAGTAGTCTTCTGGTTTTTTCTTAAGAACAGGGAAACCTTTCCAGGAAGTCCTAAATAGATCTCCCCCATATGCCACTGGCTAGAAAATAGGTTACCCTACACCAATCTATAAAAAAAGGAGAATAGAATTACTATGATTGGCTTAGACCAATCAGGATTTATCCATAAGCTAAAACCACTTCCCCTATGAGTAAAAACCAAACAAAATCAGTGATTTTTAACAAGGAAGAAGAAAGAAATGGATATTAGGTGCACAACCAGAGTGCCTGCCATATATGACATTAGCAAAATGGGCAAATCACATGCAACGGCAATTCATAAGAGACAAAAAGCAAATGGTAAAGAAACATGAAAAAACGTTCATCTTGGTTAATGAATACAGAAATGCAAATTAAACAGTTTTTGTATTTTCTCTACCAATTTGCCAATGATGAAAAAAATGATAATCATCTACAATAGCAACAAATATATAAGGTGCCTAGGAATAAATCTTACACAAGATGTGCAAGACCTATATAAAGAAAATTACAAAATTATACTGGATGACATTAAAGAAGACCTAAATAAATGGACATATATACCATGTTCATGGACAGGAAGACTCAGTACCTTAAAGATGTCAATTCTCAAACTGATTTAAAGATTTAAAGCACTTTCAATCAAAATCTCAATAGTTTTTTTTTTGAGGAATAGACAAGTTATTTCCAAAATATATATGAAAGAGATAAGGCCCAAAACTAGTCAAGATCCTCTTAAAGAAAGGAATATGGCAAAGGGGATTTTTATTATCTGATAGCAAGACTATGTTTTTATTAATAAGACAATAGTAATTAAGAATATGTGATGTTGGTTCAGGGATAGGCAATTTAGCAATGGAACAAAATAGAGGGCCCCCAAACAGACTCACACATTACAGTAACTTGAAATAATTACAGTGGTAGCATTGAAAATCACTGGAGAAAGAATGGAAAAAGAAAATAGAATTGAATTCCCATCTCTCACCCTCCATAGAAAGTAATTCAAAATTATGTGTAGAGACAAAATTGTAAATTATTTAGAAGAAAATACAAGAAATTATCTTTATGACTTTAGGGAAAGATTTTTTAAAAATAAAATACAAGAGGCATTAACTATAAAAGACAAAGTTGATAAATTTGACCATGTTAAAACAAAGAACTCTGTTCAAAGACATCTTAAAGTGAATACAAAGACAAGCCATTATCTGAGAGAAGATATTTATAACACAAATGACTGAAAAAGATTAGTATTCAGAATATATAAGGAACTCCTAAAAATCTATTAGAAAAAGATTTTTTTTTAAAGCCAAAAGTAGGCAAAAGACACAAATAGATATTTCACAAAGGAGAAAAAACACATGGCCAGTAACCATGTGAGAAAAATGAACAACCTCAATAGTAATCAGGAAAACAAATTAAGATGACAATGAGATATCCTTTTATATCCACCTGATTCCTCCAAAATAAAACAGGTGATGACACCAAGTGCTGGTAAGGATGTAGATCAGCTGGAACTCTAAGTTCCGCTGGAAGGAGGACACATCAATTTTACCACTTTGGAAGACTAGCACTGTTTGTAACGTTAAATACTCACATAGCCCATGACTCAGTTGTTTCACTTGTAGGTGTGCCAAAGTATACACAAGAATATTTATAGCTTACATTCACCCACCTCCCCAAAAGACTGGAAACAACTCAAATATCCGTTGAAGGAAAATAAATACATAAATTGTGATATAGTCACATGATGGAATACTATGCAGCAATGCAAACGAGATAACCACAGATACATGGTAGCAACATGGGAAAATTTCAGGAACGTCATATTGAGTGGAAAAAGCAAGTTGTAGAAAATGACATTATAATACCCCTTGTAAAAAACTCAAAAACAAGCAAAGCTCAACAACATGCTTTTTAGGGATTGTAAATATATAATCAATTATTTTTTTATAAAGCAAAGAAATATCAATCAAAATTTAGATTAGTGATTATCCTTGGGTGTGGGAAAGGCAGGGAAATAGGGTAGGAGAATTGTACACACATCAGTGTGACGGTATCAGCAGTATTTTAGTTTTTTAAAAAAATATATCACATTTTGGGGCTGGCCCCGTGGCCGAGTGGTTAAGTTCGCGCGCTCTGCTGCAGGCGGCCCAGTGTTTCGTTGGTTCGAATCCTGGGCGCAGACATGGCACTGCTCATCAAACCACGCTGAGGCAGCGTCCCACATGCCACAACTAGAAGGATCCACAACTAAAATATGCAACTATGTACTGGGGGGCTTTGGGGGAAAAAAGGAAAAATTAAAATCTTTAAAAAAAAAATCACATTTTTTTAATTGTGGTAAAACGCACATGACATAAAATTTACCATATTAACTCTTTTTAAGTCTGCAGTTCAGTGGCATTAAGTACATTTACATTGTTGTGTAATGTAAATGTACATCCATTATCCACCATTCATCTTTAGAACTCTTTTCATCTTGTAAAACCAACTCTGTGCCCACTGAACAATAACTTTCCCCTCCCTCCAGCCCCTGACAACCACCATACTACCGCCTGTGTCTATGCATTTGAGAATTTTAGTTTTTAAGTTGAGAGATGGGTTCGTGGGTGTTCATTTTGTTGTCATGCTTCATAACTTGTGTATATATATGTTATACACACGCACATATACATATTCTTTTGGATGTATAAAATAGTATGTACCTTATTTTTTTAATGGCTTGATATCTGGAAAAATAAAGAATGACAATATCCAAAATTGGCCAGAACATGGTAAATGCTAACAAGCATATAAATTGATACAATCTTTAAGACGTTCTAAACTTAACACACAGGAAAACTGACAAATAGTTTATGGCTTTTGGGATCTACAGTGTTTTCAATTTTGGTTTCTAATTATTCGTTGCTAGTGCTTAGAAGTATGACTGGTTTTTGTGTGTTGACCTTGTATCCTGCTAAATTCACCTCTTAGTCTTAGGAAGTTTTTTGTTATTATTTTGATTCTGTGGGATTTTTCTATGTAGACATCCTGCCTTCTCTGAATAGGGACAGGTTTTTTTTCTTGCCTGTCTGTATGCTTTTAAAAATGATTTCTTTTTCAAGCCTTATTCCACTAGCTAGGACTTTAAGTACAGGATTGAATAGGAGAGGTGAGAGTGCACATCCTTGCTTTGTTCCTGACCTGAAGCAGAAAGAAGTCTTTCACCATTAAGTATGATGTTAGGTGCAGGATTTCGTAGACGCTCTTCATCAAGTTGAATAAGTTCCCCTCTATTTCTAGTTTTCTGAGAGTTTTAAAAATCATGAATGGCTGTTGAATTTTGTCAAAGGCTATTTGCATCAACTGATATGATCATGTGGTTTTCCTTTTAAGAGTGTTAATATGGTACATTAAATTGATTTGATTTTCAAATTATGAAAGCTTTGCATTCCAGGTTTAAATTCTCCTTTGTAATTGTGTTCATCTTTTTATGTATTGCTGGATTTGATAATTTGTTGCAGATTTTTGCATCTATGCTCATGAGGGATATTGGGCTATAGTTTTATTTTTTGTACTCTGATTTTGGTTTTGATATAATCTTTTTGGAGGGCAATTTGTCAATTATAACAAAAGTCAGAAATGTGTGCGCCCAAGGATTCTACTTCTAAGAATTTATCTTAAGGAAATTAATCAGAAATTCTCACTACATACAGACTTCGGGTTCAGACAGACCTGGATTAAACATGAAGCCGTCCCCTTAACAACTGCTTAAATTCTGTGGGTCTGTTTCCTAATCTGTAAAATGAGAATAAGAGGACCTATCTCACGGAGTTGCCTTAGATGAAACAATTCACACACAGTGCCCAACACCTAGTAAGCTTTAAGTAAATGGCAGCCCTTGGTATTAAAGGCTCCCATATTAGCTCCCAGTTTGAATCTCCTGATTGGTGGGTATTCGGTCTCCTCATGTTGGATTCCTCTGCCTTATATTACGTGTGCTGGGCATTGGGAATGCAAAGGCAAAAAAGATATATGGTCCCTGTCCCCGGGGAGCTGAATGTATCAGAGAGACAGACACAGGAGCAGACGAACCAGTCCCATGCAATGTAACAGCGTTATAACCGGGGTCTGCCCAAGGTAGACGCGCGCTCTGAGCGTCTGCGTCAGACACCGGGCCGTCACCAGAGCTGGGGAACCAGGAAAGAGGGCAGCAACTTCTCCAGTTTAGCCTCGAGCCGCGGTGGGGGCCGTACAGACCGGCCGTTCCCATAGCAACGAGACGAGCCACCCTCTACAGGCCTCACGCGTCACCTTCGTTCGGCGTCCGAGGAACCAGGAAAGCCCACTTCCGGTTCTCCCGCTGCAACGGAAAAATTCGAGCTCCCAGTCTCTGATTGGCTCAGGCAGACGGAGAGGGCGGGCGGTGGCGGCGAGGGGCGTGGCCCGCCGTCTTCCAAACTACAGTTTCTCTCGCAGAGCGGAAGCCGACCTCGACGTCCCCGGAAGTGCACACTCGGAGTTGGTGCCGGTGTGGGTTCCGCCGGCGAGGTGGCTGTTTTCGAGATGCCAGGAGCCGCGGCGAGGGGCTCGGAGTTGTCCGAGAGGATCGAGAGTTTCGTGGAGACCCTGAAGCGGGGCGGCGGGAGGCGCAGCTCCGAGGACATGGCTCGGGAGACCCTGGGACTGCTGCGCCGGATCATCACGGACCACCGCTGGAGCAACGCAGGTGAGGCAGGCCTAGCTCCGTCGCGCCCCTCGTCGCTTTCTGTTCCCGATCTTCACCGCGCGTTTGCCCTGCTCACGCTCTCGCTCTCGGACCGCAGAGGAGCTGATGGAGCTGATCCGCAGAGAGGGCCGGAGGATGGCGGCCGCGCAGCCCTCAGAGACTACCGTGGGCAACATGGTGCGGAGAGTGCTCAGGATTATCCGGGAGGAGTATGGCAGGTCAGGCCCACGTCCTGGGCTCTGGGTTGGACCCAGTGACGCTTTTTGCGCCCCTCTCTCTGGTTGGATCCTTTATTGGAGCTGAGCAGCTCCTGTTACTTAAATGACCACACCTCCTCCCCACCTCCCTCTTTGTGTCTTGTTGCTTCCATAGACTCCACGGACGGAGCGACGAGAGCGATCAGCAGGAGTCCCTGCACAAACTTTTGACATCTGGAGGCCTGACCGAGGACTTCAGCTTACATTATGCGCAACTCCAGTCCAACATCATTGAGGCAATTAGCGAGCTGCTTGTGGAACTGGGTAGGAGTCCTGATCCTTGGGTGGACAGGACAGGTTGCAGGCAGATGAGGAAACAGGACTCTGGAGGTTTTTCGTTAGCAGAGATGGGAGCTAACCAGTCCCATGGTTCTCAGACGTTTGTTCTCCATCCTGATTAGGAACGCTTGGAATAGGTGGCAGGTCTAACAACCCTCTCTACATTTCCTTACAGACTAACCCTTTATGGACTGCAAATGCACTGTGACAGAGACTCTATTAGGGAAGGGCTTTATTTTCATTTTAAAGAGATGAATCCCCCTAAAACCACAGTTGTTAGATCCTTCTTCACTAAACTTCCTCTTTTTTTTTTTAAAGGCTTAAAAGTCTTCTTCTTCTTTTCTTTTCTTTCTTTTTTTTTTTGTGAGGAAGATTGTCCCTGAGCTAACATCTGTTGCCAATCTTCCTCTGTTTGCTTGAGGAAGATTGTCCCTGAGCTAAGATCTGTGCCAGTCCTCCTCTATTTTGTATGTGGGACACTGCCTCAGCATGGCTTGATGAGTGGTGTGTAGGTTTGTGCCCAGGATCCCCCAGTGCACCCTGGGCTGCCAAAGCGGAGCTCATGAACTTAACCACCGCGCCACCAGGCTATCCCCTAAACAACTTCTTGAATTTTGATACACACACAAAACCTCCAACCCCCTTGTCTTTGTGTCCCAGAAGACCTTCAGATATTCATTACAATCAGAGATCCCCAGGGGAGGAAGAAGCTGGGTCTGTCTGTGCACTGAGCTGCTGCTTCCAAATTCCTCCTTTGTTTTTCTTCTCTGGCTTTCCTCTCTCGGGTGGAAGTGTTGTGGTCACCTTTGGGAGGAAGAGTTCTTTTGGGGAAGCTCTGTTTACCCTACTCTCAGCACTTGAGGATTTCCCAGATTGGGCCATTTCTTGCCTGAATTCATTGTCTTCAAAGTCAATTGTAAGGAGCTGCTGTGGTGGTGGGGGTTAGAGGGGAGTTGGTGAGTAGGCTACTGCTGGGAAAGAGGGCAGACTGAGAACTTGGGAGGTAGGAGACCCCCAGGAGTGGGGCTTTTAAGGAAATGTGACATTTCACATGAAATCCTTTAAGCTTGTTACCAGGGTCAGCTAGGTGGGCAGTCTGTGTGATGGAAACATGTCCCTTTCTGTGTTCTGTTATCTGTTCATAATGTAGCATGGCAATTTCATATTTTCCTTGCAAAACTGACTATTCTTACAGAAGGGACAACGGAGAACATCGCAGCCCAGGCTCTGGAGCACATCCACTCCAATGAGGTGATCATGACCATTGGCTTCTCTCGAACAGTAGAGGCCTTCCTCAAAGAGGCCGCCCGGAAGAGGAAATTCCATGTCATTGTGGCAGAGTGTGCTCCTTTCTGCCAGGTAGGGGACAGCTGAGGTTGCTAAGAAAAATGAAAAATGAGGAGAGATTAAAAGAGGGATAGATGGGGTCCATAACAACTTTGAATTGATAAGCAAGATATTGAGAAGATAAAGTAAAACATTAAGGGAATTTTCAGGTTGTCGATCCTGTGAACATTTTTAAACATCGATTTGAGAAAATTGGAAGAACCGCTGAATCACAGAAAAGATAAATATTGGTTCTTTTAGGAATCAAAATAGGGTAAATTATCTTTGGGATGACTGATGCTTGGTCTGACCTCACTCGATCCCTAGGTAGATAATAGTCTCAAAAAAGGAAATATGCAAGGATGCAGGATGTGGTAAAATAATGAGCCAGGAGCTACCTTGTCGGCCCGATTACACAAGCAAGTAGTATTTCCAGTTTTGTGGCTGCTCTGGTGCTGCTGTGGAGTATTAAACATTTGTCAGCTTCCCCTGGGCTTCCTGCCACTCACCAGAGAATACCTCCCATAGGCAGAAAAATGAGTTATCTGTTGAAAGTGGGTGTTGGATGTGCCCCGTATCACAGAATTCTCCAGGTACAGTTACGTTTGCAAGGTCTTTCACTCTGTCGCTCTTTCTCCCAGCATCCGCCTCTCTCTCCTATTGCAGGGCCATGAAATGGCAGTCAATTTGTCCGATGCGGGTATTGAGACAACTGTCATGACTGATGCTGCCATTTTTGCTGTTATGTCAAGAGTCAACAAGGTGGGTGTCTTTGGAGTTATATTATGTTGAATTCATAAAGATGATACTTCTGAAACATTTTTCCCCCTCCTGTAATATCCAGGAGAAGAGAAGAAAGCTTCTAGGACCTTTTGAAAGTACACACTTGGGCCTTTTTAATATATCAACTGAATTTCTTTTCCCTTTATCTGTATCATTGTCCCTCACTTGGAGTAGCCTCTTTTTGGTGAAAGCTTTGGAAAGAATGAAGTAGGACTATGCTAAGCATGTCAGCTGCTAGGGATCGGGTGGAGAGCTCTGCATTATGCTCAGACAGCTTGCTGGTGGTGGATGTGAGTAGAAAGGCTCCCGGCTTCTCAGGATGTGTGGCATATAGAGTTCCAGAAAAGACAGGGCTAAGAGCAGTAGATATTGCAGTTCTCTGTCATGTACTGTGTTCATTCTAACCGTGGAAACCCACTCTTAGGCTAGAATTTGTGGTCCTGAGCCTAGAATCCCTTTCCCACTACTGGTCTGTGACCCCCCAGGATACCAAGATGGAGGCCTGCAAATTCAGGCTGTTGTGCCTAATGACTCTTTTAAGGCTCTATCCCCGGGATGGCTCACATTTTTCTTCCTGTCCCAAAGGTGATCATTGGCACGAAGACCATCCTGGCCAATGGTGCCTTGAGAGCTGTGACAGGAACTCACACTCTAGCATTGGCAGCAAAACACCATTCCACGCCACTCATCGTCTGTGCTCCTATGTTCAAGCTTTCCCCACAGGTATGTCTGTCTATAGCTGGTCTCTCTCTAGCCAACAGAGAGAAGGAAGCCAAAGTGAGGCTTAAACTCTGGGCTTTCAACCTACTCCTTCTGGGGCTTCTCTTTATCTGCATGTACTCAGTGGCTCAAACCCAGCAGAGGCTGGAAAAAGCCACAGAAGACTTGATCCAGGAAAAACAATGGACAGTTATAACCCACCAGCTTTAGGAAGTTGAAATTGTAAGGTCAAGACAGTGCATAGCCCCTTTGTTTACCTTGTCACCACTCCCTGTCACCCTGACCATTTCTGAAAATGCCAAGCAAGTTGAAATTAGGAACACAGAATCCATTTTATTTATCATAGTTCCAGGGACTGTCCTCTGTAGCCTGAATGCAAGCAGTTACTAAGTGAAGAGCCATTTCATCAGTGATGGAAACTATTTGCCTTGAAAATATTAACCCACTTATAGGTCTCTATTTTTTCTAATTGAGGTAAAATTCACATAACACAATTAACCATTTTAAACTGTGCAGTTCAGTAGCGTTTACTACATTCACAGCATTATGCAGCTACCACTGTCTAATTTCAAAACTTTTTCATCGTCCCAGAAAAACAGTCCATATGTGTTAAGCAATCACTCTCTAGGCTTCTTTCTCCCCATCTCCTAGAAATCACTAATCTGCTTTCTGTTTCTATGGGTTTGCCTATTTTGGATATTTCATATAAAAAGAATTATATAATATGTGCCCTTTGGTTTCTGACTTTTTTCACTGAGTGTAATGTTTTGGGGGGTTCATCTGAGTTGTAGCACAGTATGCTGTTCCTTTTTATGGCTGAATAATATTCCATTGTATGGATATATCAGTTTCTTTAAACATTCATCTGTTGATGGGCATTTGGGTTTTTTCTGTCTTTTGGCTTTTGTGAATGCTGCTGCTGTGAGCATTCATGTACAAGTTTCTGTGTGGACATATGTTATTGTTTGTTTGGTTTTTTTTTTTGAGGAAGATTAGCCCTAAATTAACACCTATGCCCATCTTCTTCTATTTTATATGTGGGATGCCTGCCACAGCATGGCTTGCTAAGCGGTGCGTAGGTCTGCACCCGGGATCCAAACTGATGAACCGTAGGCCACCACAGCAGAGTGCACAACCTTAAGCGCTATGCCCCTGGGCTGGCCCCCATGTTTTTTATTTCTTTTGGGTACATACCCCTAGAAGTGGAATTGCTGGGTCTCTTACTTTTTTTTAAATTTTTCCTTTTCCAGTTCCCCAATGAAGAAGATTCATTTCACAAGTTTGTGGCTCCTGAAGAAGTCCTGCCTTTCACAGAAGGTACAGAAGTTGTGTGTGTGCATGTGCACGTGTCTGTGTTGGTCTTTTGGTTTTGGTAGTCCACGGAATTGAATGCTGTCAGGTTGTGCTTTCTATCGTATTTCCCATGGGGACTGTTTTCTTTAGCAGCTTAGAGGGCTTGGGGACCTGATCCACGTTCATTTTGTTCTGAGAGTAATATATTTAGCTGAGTTACTGGGGCCATCATGTGTGGGATCACCCAGCACTGACTGGGTTTGGCTTTGCACATTGTCTGAGACACAGGCAACAACCCAGTGGGAAAATGTACTTGTTTCAGTTGCTGTAGGGAGTCATTTTGGTGACGTGGCTGCCAAAGGGAGCAGGCTCTGAAACATTCCTACTTAGAAAACTCGGCCGTAGCCTGGATACCTTTGTGTGCTGGGCTCCTTCTCTCTGACTTCTTCTGAGTCAGCCGCTTTGCTCAGTGAGCTTGCTGCCTCATCAACAGTTAACACGGCCTTAAACACCCTCTGGGAGCAAAGCATAGTACTTGGGGTGCCAGCTATTCTTGGAAGTTGAATAACTTCATCCATTTATTCAAACTTCATTCTTTCACGAAATATCTTTTGAGCATCCACGGCGCATCCAGCACTGGTGTAGCACCAGGGATGTAACGGTGAACAACTAGATAGGCTCTGCTCCCACAGAGCTTATGTTGTATTGCAGAAGACAGATAAAAAAAGGTCAGGTCATGAGATGTTTTAGGAAGAAAACAAATAAGGATGATGTGATGGAAGGTGGCTAGGAGACTTCCTTAGATTGGGGAAGGGTCTTAATAAGATGACGTTTCAGCTGAGTCCTGAATGAATAGAGCCCACCCTGTGAAGATCAAGGAAAGAGTTTTGCAGGAGTTGGTGCAAAGGGCCTGAGTTGGGTACATGCTTATGCAGTTGGTAAAAGATGGCCGTATGTCTGGAGAGAAATGAGCAAGAAGGAGAGCTGTACGAATTATAATTAGTGTGGTATGGTGGGGAGGGGCCAGATTTTGAAGGTTGCAATCCCAAATTTGAATTTTATTCTAAGGGCTGTGGAAGGGCATTGGACAGTTTTAAGCGGGAAGTACCATGATTGAAGTCATCTCTTCATATTCACATTTTGCTGCAGCTTGCCTTCCTTGGGGTCGCAAGTATGCCTGCATTATTGAGCTTAGAATGTATATGCTACTTAATTATTAGGGCAGGATCCTCAGTTTTATCTTTAGCACGTGTGATTGCCTTTCAGGGGACATTCTGGAGAAGGTCAGCGTTCACTGCCCTGTGTTTGACTACGTCCCCCCAGAGCTCATTACCCTCTTTATCTCCAACATTGGTGGGAACGCACCTTCCTACATATACCGCCTGATGAGTGAACTCTACCATCCTGATGATCATGTCCTATGACCACTCTCATCCTAAGCGGAAGCTGCTTAGGCAAACACAGAATGGAGAGGAGACTCCAGTGCTACTGCTAAAACGCATCTTCCTTGTAATGGGGGAGTGGACTGGAGTCAACCCAGAGAAAGACTTGATACTGTTCCCCGCCTTTTTAGTCACCCTGGAACAAGGACGCGCATCCTGGACTGTCTCCTGCCTTTCGGGTCTTAACAGAGCAGCAGGGCTTGACCTATTGATTTTGGAGCCTCTAAGTGACCTGGTGCATCTGTTTCAGGAACTTAAACTTCCTGGTTTAGTGGTGTGTTAAACATAACACTGAATACCTTGCCAGGATACAGGGTTTTGCTCAGAAATGGCTACCACACCTTTTCTTAGACTGTGCCAATAAAAGCTGCTCGAAGGTTCCTGAGTTGGTTTATTTATTGTTCTGCTCTGACTGTGCCTGAAACAACAGCAGCAGAGCCCTTTTCGTGTTTTCCTAGGGGGCTGTAAAGAGCTAACACTCTACAACAGGAGGGCAACTGGAAGTGTTCACCATTTCCCTTATAATTCACTGGAAATGGTCTCAAACAACTTGTTAGTAGTCTAAGACAGTGGTTCCAGAACCTCTCTGATCATAAGAATCATTAGGAAGCTTAAAAAAATATACAGGGGCCAGCCCCGTGGCCAAGTGGTTAAGTTTGCACACTCCACTACAGTGGCCCAGGGTTTCACTGGTTCGAATCCTGGACGCGGACATGGCACCGCTCATTAGGCCACGCTGAGGCAGCGTCCCACATGCCACAACTGGAAGGACCCACAACTAAAATATACAACTATGTACTTGGGGGATTTGGGGAGAAAAAGCAGAAGAAGAAAAAGAAAAAAGAAGATTGGCAACAGTTGTTAGCTCAGGTGCTAAACTTTAAAAAAAAAAATACAATCTTGGGCTCCATTCCAGACCTAGTTTATCTGGTCTCGGGCGGCCCCTGGGAATCTGTTGAAAGCTCCCCAGAAAAGGACCCTCTCCTGTCTTGTTAATAGGATTTTAAATTGGTACAACCTTTTCTAGGTTAACTTTGAACCTGCACTTCTACAAATACTTGTATAAGCACACAAAAATAAAGACAAGAATGTCCATTGTAGCAGCTGGAATGTCATAGCCTGTGTCCAGCAATAGCATTTTAATAAGTATGACATACTGTGAAATATGTATACACTGCAATTGAGGTTTCAAAAGGGTGGTTTGAGGGCAGTGTCGGGATTGAAGACATTTTAGTTGCTTCACCCAATTCAATGCACCTTTGAATTGGTTACCAATATTTAAAAATCTGGAGCTTGCACATTAAACAAATTGAGATTTTTTTGTTTCTCTTGAAAACTCAGAAGATTTGGCGATTCTGGGTCTATGTTCCCAAATGGCAGCAGTTTGCTGTAGTTGAGTAGTTTCTGATTCCATTAGATGGAAAACCTCCAGTTTTCTTCAGTTCCTCCCTGGTCCATTTAACTCACTTATGCTATCTGTTTAACCCCCGGAGGCATCTGAGTTGTGACCCTTGTGTTGAAAGAATGGAGTAGATTTATAAGAAAGTCCATTTTAATTTCTGTTAACGAAAACAAGCTGGGAAAAAACCAAGCTGCAGAGCAATATGCGTATGACCCTTACTTCGTTACAACAAAACAAATGTGTGCATGCGCAGGATGAAAGTATGGAAGAATAACACCAACTCGTGCAAGCAGGGGGACATCGTCTAACTTTATTTAGTAAGTTTATATAGTATTCCTATGTTTTACATGTACTATGATAGCAGTTATGTTTTCAAAGAGTCTCCCCAGGTAATCCAGATGGTCTGCCGTGTTTGGGAAGCACTGGTCCAAAGCAGAGGTCTGAGGTGTAACGAGGAACCTCTGCGATGCTTCTCACAAAGGCCACCTCCTGCCCCATGTGGCAGTGTCTGTATTGTCACGTGGCGTAGTCTGTAGGGAGCGCTAGGAGTCTGCATGTTTAACAGTAAGCAGCCCAAGGGATGTTCACAGGTGATTTGATAGCCACACTTCGGTAAACACCGGCCAGAGGTAGGCTACGAGGGAAAGGCCTCTACTTTTATGTGATACCTTCTTGAGACAGATCTTGGCCTTAGGGCTCTTGTCTTCCCTGAGAGGGGAAAAACAAGATTGCAGAGGGTCAGTCTAAAAGACCGACCTAAAAGCTCTTTGACTCAGAAGATCCTGACTCACTCAGGCCTCAGTCTGTCCCATTATTTCTTAAAGCATCTAAGACCCCACGCTTTCTCAGTGAAGTGGCTTATAGCTACCAATTATGAGCAATTATCTCCTCTGAAGGCACCAATTCTAACAGCAATTCACTTGGGTACAATTGTGTGGTCTGGAGTAAGAGCAACAGTGAGTCAAGGAATTTAAATCTGTTTTTGGCTCCAAAAATGCTTTACGATACTTGTCCTTTGTGCATCTTAGTCTCTGGTCTAAAATTAGCACCAACATCCTTCCCAGGCCTGACTGAGATGGATGAAGGTTACAGGGGTGTCTCTTTTGGGTCAGCTCTTCCAGCGCCTAGCACAGAACTGCACAGATGCATATTCTTCAGAATCTTTAGGACCTCAATTAAGTAAATCCCACAGAGCTATTTATATGCCTTGTTTCTCTACTTCCCTCTCTCCCTTTTCCTCTTTCAGAGTAAATATTGGAAATAAATATCAGAAGGTGATCTAAACAGGGAGAAACTGAGGAGTTCCATGTTGACTTACTACCACTCCCTCCCACCTCTGCCTTTGCAGGCAGAACCCAGAAACTAAGGAAGAAAACCGTTGTAGCCTGGAGAGAATTAATAGAGGATTCCATGGATGTGAAAGGCTTCCTGAACATGCTAAATAAACCAAGTTAGATAACTTACTACAGTTTGTAAAGATACTTTTCCCACGGTTTATATCTTCCAATTTGGGCGGAGGGCAGGAAAGGCATAATTCTTGGAACTCGAATAAGGAACAGAAATTCCTAATTTAGCCTCAGAAAAGAAGTCTAAAAAACACTCTACCAAGAAAAACTTAAGTGTAAAGTGATACCTCAAAGAAATAAATGCTGGCACCCAGAGGATCGTCAGTTTCACAGACGTGCTTCGAGACTGTTTCTCAAAGCAGTCTCTCACATCAGTCTGGGTTCATGAAGGTTGCCAGGGACACAGTTCATCATGGAGCTACCTGACTGTCATACCACGTACGTAGAACTCAGTTCATCAGGACAGCACCAGATGGTGATGTAATTACTGTAAAGGCCATACTGCCCTCCTGCCCTCACAAAACCTCCCTCTGCAGACATGCACCTCGTTTGCACAAAGGAGCTATTCTGCCACGTGGTTTGGAAGTGTTTTACATCTGGCCTACTTCACTTTGAATTCTTCTTTCATTCACCAAAAAGCTGTTCCAGGATACTGTTCAATGGCTAAGCAATTATTAATAAAGAGCTATAGTCTAAGCTGTCAGTCTTCTTCACAACCCTCACACAATGGAGGGCAGCCTTGGAGCCTAACCACACTTGAAATGGTGACTGCTTGATATTTATATTAAATACCGTGCTAAAGAGAAGGAGCCTTTCAGTAGAGTTTTTTCAGGCACATTATATTTAGTATTAAGACGTGCCTAAAGAAGAAGGAAGCTACTTACAAACCTGACAAGAAGGGCCGGCCCTGTGGTGTAGTGGTTAAGTTTGGCGTGCTCCACTTCGGTGGCCTGGGTTCGCAGGTTCGGATTTCGGGCACAGACCTACACCATTCATCAAGCCACACTGTGGTGGCAACCCACCTATAAAATAGAGGAAGATGGGCACAGATGTTAGCTCAGGGACAGTCTTCCTCACCAAAACAAAAACAAAAACAGAAACACTTGACGAGATTCATGCGGCAGTTAACTACTATAAAAGAGAGGTGATGAAACACTTTGAATAAGGATAAACAAATAGAAGTACCTAACTCCAAACCACGTTTTTTTAGAGGGGTGGACAGCCTTGGATACTCCTTGCTTTTGAAGTAAACAAGAGCAAGTTGTTTACAGTCAGGCAAGTTGTAAGGGTAAAGTCAGGCCAAATCCAGCTTCTTCAGACTGCCACTTGAGTCACGCTAGCTTACTGGCCTGATAGATTACAAAATGTAAGACACTCAGATTCCCCAGGGCTTGATCAGGTTGCCTGAACTTTATCAGATGTTTCTGGAGAAGACTGAGTGCTCTATGACAAATGGGGCAATGATCCAAGTGTTTGAAAAATCCTAAGCCATAGGATAACCTCTTTTTTCTTTCTATCTCCTACAACTTCTTATGCCATACATTTAGACGGGACTCACTCAGTGAACAGTTACTGAATGATGAAAAAACGGAGGGATAGAAGGAAGGGTTTATTTGGTGTAGATTATGCAGATTTTTGGCTTCCCAGAATCCCTTCTTTTCCTCTCTCCTGAGCCCACCTTTTTGCCATCTCGTGTTGATGAGCAGCTCCAGCTGAGAAAGGGTGAAAGCAGGCCTGATAGGTGGTGGCACCACACCAGTCAGTTCTCAGTGTTCGCCCCCTGTAAAGGGTTTGCTGGAACGGGGCAGCCCCTCAGGTGGAGAACAGGTAGGGAGAGGCTGCTTCTCTGCAGGGAGCTGTTCTTCCCTTCATTCAGATATGCCAATGCTGGCTCCCACCTGCAGCTTCAGCTGAGCTTGGCTGCCAGGCTCTCTAGGAACTGATGGGGTGCATCTGTTCTCCCTCGGCCTGGCTTCGTCAGCCCCCTACTCATCTCTTGGCCTTGGGCCCCCTCCTGCCCTGCCCCTGTTTTGGTTGCCTTGTTTTTTCACTGTTAGGCCCAGAGCCCAGCTGGTCATTTGTGTCTGATCCTTTGCCTCGTTCTGACATCTGATTGCTAGAACCTCTCCATTCTCAACTACTCATCAAGTTCCAGATCCCCAGCTAGGTTCTGGACCTTGCCCTAGCCCCCTCCCAGTCTCTCGCCTTCCTTCCAGTCTACACTCTAAGCTTTGCCTTAAGCTTTTCTGATATTAGCTCCTCTTGCCATTATAGTTTTAATTCTTTCAGAATTGTTATCCCCTTTTATCTCAATAATAAAGACATAGCTGTTTAACCCAGGATCCCTGAACCTAGAGGAAGTTACCATATTCTATCATCAGTTTCCTTGTCTCTCCCAGACTGAAGCTAAGCTTCTTAAAGGTATGCAACTTGACTTAATAAAATTTTGATGAATGTTACTGAAAAAGGAACTCTCAAGAATGGCTTCATTGCACATCTCATCTCTCAAATTTTACTCTAAAGTTAATGAAGCCTCCACTAACCAGAATCTAATAAAGTTGAACTACTAAGTTTACAAACTGATAAATCCCTAGTAAATTACAAATATATAGGGCAGCATGGGGTAATAATAGGAAGGAGTGTGCAATGTGAGCTCACACAGACTTGGGTCTGAATTCTGGCTCTCTTAGCTAGGCCCTGAGTAAACTGGTTAACGTCTCTGTGCCTTAGTAGTCTCACTGTAAAACAGAGATACTAGCTTCCTAAGAGGACTGTTGTAAGGATTAGAAATAACTGGGGCCAGCCCCATGGCATAGTGGTTGAATTCAGTGCACTGGTGGCCCAGGTTTGCAGGTTTGGATCCCAGGCGTGGACCTACACCACTTGTCAGCCACGCTGTGGCAGCAAGCCACATAAAAAGTGGAGGAAGACTGACACAGATGTTATCCCAGGGCCAATCTTCCTCAGCAAAAAAAAGAAAAAGAAAGAAAGAATGTATACAAAGCATGTGGTATATAGTAAGCTCTCAATAAATGGTAACTATTCTTGTTATTGGAGCCAGAAAACTCGGATACCACTCTCAGCTTTACTTACTAGCTGTGTGATCTTAGAGAAATAAGTAATATTTTTCAGCCTTAGATTCCCCCTTTGTAAAATGGGGAGAATAATACCACCTTATCTCATGGATTGCCAAGGAGTTCAAATTTGGTAGGCAAAAATTATTTTGTAAACCTTAAAGCACCATATAGGTATTAATGATTACTATCATGTGTTAGAAAACTGAATATATCTTTGCTCTCATGGCACCTGAATTAAAACAGAACAAAACAAAACTCTAACAGGCAATCAAAGTAATGTTAGGTATTTTTGGCTAATAGGTTGGTTTTATGCTGATACATGCTACTGAGTTTATAAATTATTAAAATAGGGTAATTATCTCTTAAATTGCTTGAGTCTGGCTACCCAGAAGACTGGCTACATAATATATGAAGAACTTTTTCTAATCCTCTGCTATTCTCATGAAAACAGTGGTTTGGGATTATAGCAAAACCTTTTGACCTCACACCCCATCATCCTAATACAAGAGGTATGGTAACTTTTCTTTTTTGGCTGAGGAAGATTAGCCCTGAGCTAACATCTGTGCCAATATTCCTCCACTTTATATGTGGGTTGCTGCCACAGCATGAATGACGAGTGGTGTAGGTCTGTGCCAGGGATCCAAACCCACAAACCCAGGCTGCCAAAGCAGAGTGCACTGAACTGAACCACTGTGCCACTGGGCTGGCCGCTTGTAACACTTTTTTTAATCCCACAAATTGGTCTGACCCAAAAGGATTTTTAAAACTCCCAGGACAGCTGGCCTCCACGTAGCTCTAGAGAGCGGAGGCAGAGGGCCAGAGGCCACAGCACCCCACTGGGCCTGGAAGCAGAGCCCCTGACAGCCTCACAAATCCCCTGAAAACACTCTCCTTTCTAAGGTCACGTCTCCCAGTCTATGAAACCATTTATATGTATTTAGAAGAATAAAGGCCATTTTTAGACAGTGGTGCCTATTCTTCAGGGTTCCAATTACGTAATTCTACAAGGATCCCCTTGAAAACCAGTGAAGGCTTTCCTTGAACCTTCTGTGAGGCACACGCTGATGAATGCAATACTTGATTGCTCCTGTAAGATTCACTGCAGGGCTGTTGCCAAGTGAACTTTTCTTTCATTAGCACAAATTTGTTTCCTGTATTAAAAATTGAGGAGAATCATTCCATTGATACAAAGGCCAATTTGAGCAGGCTGGTCAGGAAATACAAAAGTGAAAATTCTTGTTGCAATATCTTTCTCATTGTATGGCATCCCAGTTGCGATAAACATCACGAGCTGGTTTTTTGCTTTTTTTCCCTTCTATAGGACTTTAGTCTAATTGAGTCTTATTAACCAGAAATCAAATCATCTAAAAAAGCGGGGGAAATACAGATGAAGAGTGGCATAACAAGCATTTGCAGAAAGATCAGTCCTGGTCCCAAAGGAAATTATGAGGCCATTAAACAGGCATACTGTAATAAAACCAAGACATAATTTGAAAGAGACCAAAAGAACCCTTGTCTCCTGAAAAAATGTAGAGAACATATCTGGTTAGGCTAAAAGAATAAATGCTGCATTTTTATATGAAAATTGCTTTCCATCTAAAGAGAGATACTTTACAAAGTACAAAAAAAATTATACTTTAAAAAACAAGCTCATAGTACTTTCACCATTTTACTGGTTTGGGATATGAAAACTGTGAGTTTTTTTTCAAAGACTGGCACCTGAGCTAACATCTGTTGCCAATCTTGGGTTTTTTTTTTCTTCTCCCCAAAGCCCCCCAGTCCATAGTTGTATATTCTAGTTGTAGGTCCTTCTGGTTGTGCTATGTGGGACATGCCTCAGCATGGCTTGATGAGCAGTGCCATGTCCGCACCCAGGATCTGAACCGGTGAAACCCTGGGCCACCAAAGGGGAGCACGCGAACTTAACCACTTGACCATGGGGCCAGTCCCTCTGAAAGAGTTTTTTTGTTTTTTGGGGTTTTTTTTGTTTGTTTTTTTTTAAGATTGGCACCTGAGCTAACAACTGTTGCTAATCTTTTTTTTCTTCTTCTTTTTCTCCCCAAAGCTCCCCAGTACATAGTTGTATGTTCCATTTGTGAGTGCCTCTGGTTGTGCTATGTGGGACGCAGGCTCAGCATGGCCTGATGAGTGGTGCCATGTCTGCACCCAGGATCTGAACCAGCAAAACCCTGGGCCGCCGAAGCAGAGCATGGGCGAACTTAACCACTCAGCCATGGGGCCAGCCCCTGAAACAGTTTTTAAAGAGGCAATAAAACAAACAAAAACCCAGGAACAGGACTTTAAATTTTTTCTATCCTATCCTTTTCCTTGTTTCTCTTCTTATCAATAGTATTTATCCCTAAAATAATCTAACTGCAGGCCTGATGGAAGACTGTAGGGACTGGTTTTCTTGAGCATACAGAAACTCTTTAAGTCTGAGATCTAGAATGTAAAGCAGCAGCAGAGGGAAGTGAAGACAACTGAGGGAAGGAGGGACTCACGGAGCACAGCCACGGGCAGTTGAGGAAGGCCGACACCATCCTTGAGAGTTCAGTGTCAGGTAAATTACATCAATGCAAATTATGAGACTGGAAAAACTGCAAAACAAAAACAAAATAACCCCCATCCCACCCCAAGAAAAACCACAAACAAATCAACCAGACAATCAATCATTAAATTTTATCCCTAAATAAGTTACAAAAAGTAGATATTATATGGCAACCTCCTCTGTCCATGGCTACAAATGAATGAACAGTGTAGGCCTGAATTCCTCTGGTCCTCAACCAGAGGGATCATCTGCTCAGGGAAGACTGCCAGCGCTTGGTTGCTCGGGTGCACTGGGTGGATGCAGTCAAGACTCCCAGTGCCTGCTGCTCACGCTCTCTGCACAGAGGCAGACAGTTAGCACCCTGTGGTTCCTAGTCCATCAGCAATTCCATTCTCATAGTGGCTCACAAGGAGGCATGGATTCCTGCAGCCTTTGTCTTGTATCACATCCTTGTGCTTTTCCAAAGAGATGCCAGGCCTGGGCCATTCTGCAAAGTCTAGCAAGATTAGGTTTAACCTATGGGAAGAAAGAGAAGAACTCCAATTAGCACTATGAAAAGCCAAGTAGCATATAAGTATTTCCTAATTAGGGCTATTCAAATCTGTTTGGATTTCTATTCTGGATTCGGAACAGATTATAGGTTTCCTTAGGATAAGTAGGAGTGAAAACTGTAAGTCTGGATCTCCCTCTCTCCAGGAATGGAGACAAAACTTTCTTCACTGTCATGTGAAACAATAAGTTTTTCATGGAGTAAAATCTACTGGATGAGTCAGAAAATATTAATGCCTGAAAACTCCAGGAAAGAAAAGACTTTACAGCCCTTAGTAGAAAAGGTAAGCAAAAGAAAAGGTTTTGGAAAACAGCAACATTCCTATTATGCTCTCATGTTCTGTTTCATTTAAGATTCTAACAAAGACAGAAAATGTTCTTTAATTTAAACCACTCTGTGCCTTTATTGCATTATCCACATCATTGTTCCTGGGCTGCTGAGTAATCAGCGCCAAAGCATAATGTGGACATCTCCTAAGCTTGGTTCCTTGCCTAATGACCCCCAAATCATAACTCTAGAGATCGGTGGAGATGGCTGCCATCTCCTGCAAGGTCACCATTTCCAGAAAGTACTGTCAAGCAGCTGGCTGTTTAGGCTATATTTATTTGCCAGTGGTGAATTTGGTGTGTTTCTACCAACTTTCTGTAGCCCCAGAGAGAACCTGTGCATCTTATCAAACCTAGAGCCAGTAGGCAACAGATGTTCAGGATATGTCAGTCTGTACATGTGTTAAGTTTAAAAAATACAAAGGCATCATGTGTATAATCTGACAGTTCTACCTAAGCTCCATTTTTCATTTGAGCTAGAAGATAAAATTGTGAGACTTCATATAAAACTTACAATGCATATTTTTCAAAACTCTTGTATTTTGGAAAGGATTAAAACAGATTACATTAGGATAATAGGAGCCGGAAAAGAAAGAAAAGATAAACTTTGCTCCCTGTTCTCCTATTAGTCATTACTGTACCTGTTTTTCCTGCTCCAAGTGGTCCATGTCAGCTAATGGCAGCATAGAAGGTCTCCCGTGAGCACACTGGAATGGCAGCTGGCACCAAGACAGGGCTTCAATAAGGCGACAGCTCTCCTCTAGGCTCAGGCCATCATTAAACTTAATGGCCCCTAAACGAAAGACAGAAACAAGAAGGTTATGGTGCGTATGGTGGGAAACCAGTGCTGACCCTGGGTCAGAGCCAAATATCTGGGAAAAGTAAGACATTTCTTAAGCTTCTTTCACGTGACTTTAATACTGCTTGAAATTGGCACTTACGGCCACTGGTGAAACTATGGCTTCAGGACTGGATTGTCTCTCAGCTTTTCCTTACGGGGTCGTTGTCTTTCTAATCCGTGTAGGAGGCATTCCTTAACTTGTTAGGATTTTGCTGTCAGAGTTTTTCTTGTGAAATCAAGGTCATCTTTGTCCAGAGTCAATCTATCACCAAGAGCTCTCATTGTTTCCCTACAATGTCCACTTCATTTGCTCCTTTTTTCGACTTCCATAATAATCTTCATAATCTGAACTCTCATATTGTCAGAACCTGCCTTTATGCATACATTAATTCACTCAGTCAACAATTTATTTATTTATTAAGTATATACTTAATAAATATTTACTTATTATTTATTAAGTATATACTTTGTCTTAGGAGCTATGCCGGGCAGTGAATCAGACAGATGATCTCTGCCCTCATGGGCTTATGATCTAATAGGTGAGACAAACATTAAACAAATAGTTACACAGTAATTTAAATTACATATTTAAGTACTATAAAACACAGAGTATGAAAGAATGTATAATAGGAAGACCAAACCCAGTTTAGGAAGGTCAGGGAAGGCTTTCCTGGCAAAATGGTAGTTAATCTGAGACCTTAGGTTAAGAAAGACATGGTTAATTGAAGAAGCAGGAATTTCAGACAGAGGAAAAAGGCAAGAGCAGAAGTTCAGCACACAAGAACAGGACCAAGGAAGCAAGCTGGAATGTCAGGGGCAAGGTGGAGAGTGACGTGAGATGAAACTGGAGAGGCAGGCAGGGGCCAGATCATGAAGACCCTTGTGAGCCATGGTAAAGAAGAAAATTTTTATCCTAAGAGCAATGGGTAGTCTTTGGTACATTTTAGTTAGAAGAATGACATGCTCAGAGGAATGCTTAACAAAGGAAACATCTGGTTGCTGAAGGAAGAATGGCTTGAAGGGGAGTCAGAATGGACATGGGGAGACTAAGTAAAAGGACTCAACAGTGGCAAGAACTAGGAAGGCGGCAGGGGAAACAGATCACATTGGAGAGATTTCAGATACATTTTGAAGGTAGAGATGCTGAAATTTGGTGATGGAGTAGATATGAGGAGTAAGTAAAGACAGGATAAAGGTGCGAAGGAGTTTAGGATGTTTGCAGGAGACAAACTAATGAGGATTTGAGGTTACTAAGCCAGGAAAGACAGGCATGAAGAGAGGAGAAGGTTGATGGAAAATAGAAGGAGGGAGGGTGTCAGTGGATTGGAGACCCCACTGTGGTCAAATGATAGCTGCAGGGGCTTCTGTAGCTGTCATGATCCCTAAAGTAAGTTCCTCCAATACCATTTTCTATATTTTATCATATTACCCTACTCAAGAACTGTCAATGATTCTAATGCCTTCTGTACAAGATCTAACAGGTTTGTTGAGACCTTCTAGGCTTCTATTCTTTCTTACTAGCCTAATTTCTGGATACTCTTTGCTGCTCCTCATATAACTAATTTGTTTCTGCTTTTGGTCTCTGCACAGGCTGTTTCCTCCCCCTGTAGTAAGCTTCCCCTTCCATCCTATGAATCTGTGTCCCTCAGCTCATTCAAAACTTGACTCAAAATGCATCTCCTCTAGGTTTTACTCCTTCACTCGTAAGTCAGCCTGCATTATGGCCAAATATATGTGTTGGTATTTTGCTTTCTAAAAGTAATGTTTTAGTGTTCATTTTTAGTGTATTCAGTTACTTGATCTAAACTGTACCCTCCAAGTAGCACACAGTAAAGGTGCCTTCTCCTTCTCTCATAATTGCTGTACCCCTGCACGTGCTTAGCCGCAGAGGCACACAGTAGCTGGTGTCTGGAGAGACTTACCATGGCAGGCTTGGGATGCCAACACCTTCTGGACTGTCAGTGGCAAAGTCCCTTGGATGCCTCCTGTAGTCTGGAGTAGCTAATGCATAAACACATTCTTTATTGATGGGAAAAGGACATGGGACAATGGAGCCTTTTGTGTGTGGTGCTTCTGTGTGAAACCCCAAAATAAGAGAAAGGCTTACCTCCACTTGTTCGCGAATAAATTCCTACAAAGCAAAAAGGAAAACAGGCATTAATCTACTATTAGAATTGTCCTTTGATAGTTTACAAAATAGCCCAGTGGTCTTCTTTAAAATATGCCTCTTAAAGGAAAGAGTTCCAGCTATATAGCACTTAGGTGCATAATTTATTTCTTGTAAGGCACTTTGAATATGAAATATCAAGACAACTGAATAGACTCTTATTGAACAGAGAATATATTTAGCTACTGAAACTGCCCCCAGAGACAGCTCATCACTTCAAGAGGTTATGTGACCGCTCAGAGCAGCCTTGATGACTCAACTGATTCTAATATCAGGGAGACATCTCGTTAAGAGGCTGTCTGTTTGCATTTATAATCTTAGCCAGAATGAGTGTAATATTACATGCAAACAGAATAAATACACAATCATCATCAGCACAACTGTGCACTCAGTATAACACTTGCTTAAATATCATAAACATAAGTAGTTATTTTAGTTACCATAGGCTTTTTTTTTTTTTTGACAATTCCCTTCAGGTCAAAAAGCTTATTTTCTGAGAAGTTTTGTTAAGAAGTTTCTCCTCCCTTGCATATTTCTGTCCCTGGGGTAGCCTTTTCAATAGTTATATCCCTATAGATGTTAAGATTTACAAAAGGACTTGAAAGAAATTTAAAGCAGACACTATTTCATGCTACCAATTTGTTTAACCTCTGGAGGTACTGTTTTGAGATATGCCACATTTAACAATTTCTTTATAAGAAAACACAAGATTTCTTTACTCCTAGAAAGGGCTATATGTAAATTAGCTTCCTAAGATTATAACACAGTAGATTTCTTTTTAAACTAGACTCAGAAAATACTCTCCCCCCCCATATGCACTCTAGTCCACCATGCTTATAAATGAGCATATTTACTAGAGCTAGGTGGTAGACACTATATATTTTTTAAAAGCCATGTATTTTCCCAAACAAACCTGAACAGAAAGATGCCTCTTAATACCTGACTCTCTACAAAGCTTAGTGTGGATGCAGATCAAGCCTAATTCTTTGCTATTCTCTCTGTGCTTATACCTCTGGGACTTGTAAAGCATCAGTTTGTAAGCCTGGTGAAGGGGAGATGGATCTTACTCTCTGTTATTTCATATTTCAATGGTTCGATTAATGCTAGATAATTTAAATAATACTAAAAAGGCTCATTCATCAGGCTAGAGGATAGAACTTTATAGAAAGATGTATTAGTGATCTTTCAACTGCTAGGACTAAGGAGCTACCTCCTCCCCTTCAAGATACCAAAACTGTTCCAGCTTCTTCTAGAATCAACAAAATCTCTCCTGATCAGCCTGACTTAACATAATCAAGATTTGCTGAAACCATAAGCTTTGTCTCAATTTGAAGTAAACTTCTTACCAGTAGTCTTTGAAGTCACTTTAGGAAACGTTCTTATTACAATTTTCTGGTTAAATACTTAGGGATTGAATTACAATAAAAGATTCTAACAGATCCTATCTTTTGGATTTAAAACAGCTTAGAGGAGGAGCCCTAGAGAAAAATAAGCTTTTTGGGAGAAAAGAGCACAGCAGAAAGCAAAGCACAGGATGTCTCATCAAAGGGCACTTTGGAAAGGGTAAACCAAGTCCCAGAGCTGGCACTGTGAACTGCCTCTTCCTCAAGAACGTCTCCTCGCCCTTAGCCTACAAACATGCTGAAGTCTCTCCCATCTGAAAACCAACACCCCTCCTCAACCCTGTGTCCTGCCCAGCACTTCCCGACCACCCCTAACTTTTGCCTATCACCTTCTCTCTCTCTTCTGTATGCAGTGAAGTTCTTGAAAGAGGAGCCCACTTAGCTCCACTTCCTCTCCCTTCCCATGACCCCTTGCAAAGTCTTCTGCCCCACTTCACCCCCAGAACACATTCCACAAGGTAACAAAGTCTTCATTAGGGCCAAATCCAACTTTTCAGGCTTTACTCCATGGCTATTGTTGACTATTCCCTTCTTGCTTAAACTTCCCTTGTTTTGGGGAATCTTACTTTTTCTAGGTTTTCCTTCTCTCTCTGACTAAATATTTTCAATCATCCTTTATAGTTTCCTCTTTTTGGCAGTAGCTTTCCAGACCTTTGCCAAAACATATACATCCTGAGAGCTGGTATTCCTTTACCCTCTTCTCTTTTTATTCTTCATATTTTCCCTAGACAAGCTCGCTTCCTCTAGACCCCTTTCCAGCTTCTATTATTAAAATATATGTACTGTTAACTTCCAAAAAGATATGTATAGCCCAGACTACTTTGCCAAGCACTAGATCATTAGGCTGCCCATACACTGGACATCCCCACTGGAAGGCACATTCAATGTATCCAAACTTATGCTCATAATCTAACTCTCCAACCAGGTGTATATTTTCTTTTTCTCTCAGTGGCACCACCATCCTTCCAGTCATCCATCATCCAAGCTAGACCCTCAGAATCATTACTTATCTTTTCTCCTTTATCCCTTTTATATTCTATTGCTTACCAGGTCCTCTTGATTCTACATTCCAAATTATGTTTCAAATATGTCCCTCCTTGCCATTCCCACTGCTACCGACTTCATCAAATCCTCATCCTCTCTTATTTGAATCAGTGCAATAGCCTCTCAACTGCTGTCTCTGCCTCAAATCTTCCCTTGTCAAGCTATCCCACAATTTATGCACTAAATCTATCTTCTAATTTTTATTTTTAGATATTACTAATGTAATTCAGATTTCTCAAAAAATGGTAGACTGAGTTGATGTGGATATGGCTGTGCTCCCAACAGAAAGAGCAAAAGAAGGAGTAAGAAACCAAAATGAATAAAACAGGACACTGTGAAAAAAGAACAGATAGACTTGAGAAATAACTAAATAAAAATTCTGGAAATAAAAAATAAAGTCATTGAAATAAAAAACTCAGTGTACAACCTAAACATCTAATTAAACAATAAGTGAAGAGAGAATTTAGTTCACTAGAAGATAAATGAGGAGATTTCCCAGAATGTATCACAGAGAGATCAACAGTGGGAAATATGAAAGAGAAGTTGAAAGACATGGAGACTAGAAAGATAAGGCCCAGTAGACATCTGACAGGACTTCTAGGAGATGAGAGAGAACAGAGGAAGAAGCAATGTTTGAAGTGATACAAACTGTACATTTTCCAAATAAAGAAGCATGATGAATCCCAAGAAGGAAATGAAAATAAATCCCTAAGAGATACATCATAGGGAAACTGCAGAACACCAAAGACAAAGAGAAAATCTTAAAAGCAACCAGAGAGAAAAATCAGATTACCTACAAAGTAACGATAATTAGATTGACAAGGGACTTTTAATGGGAAAAAGTGAATGTCAAAAGTAATGGAGTATTTTCAAAATGCTGAGGGATAAGTGGCAAGGTGGGATTCTGTTTTTAGCTAGACAATCATGCAAGTGTGGACATAAAGACATTTTCAAAGACAATTTATAATTCATGGACTCTTTTTTTTTTGAGGAAGATTAGCCCTGAGCTAACATCTGCTGTCAATCCTCCTCTTTTTGCTGAGGAAGACTGGCCCTGAGCTAACATCTGTGCCCATCTTCCTCCACTTTATATGTGGGACGCCTGCCACAGCATGACTTGACAAGCGGTGCCATGTCTGCACCCGGGATCCGAACCGGCGAACCCCGGGCTGACGAAGCGGAATGTGCGCGCTTAACTGCTGTGCCACTGGGCCGGCCCCTCATGGACTCTTAATAAAAGAACTTTTAAAAGATTTACTTCCATAAAAAGAAAACTGAATACAGAAAGAATAAGAAGGATGCAAGAAGCAACAGTGAACAAAGTCTCATAACATTTTGGTTAATCTAAATAGACACTGACTATAAAATTAACGACTACCAAGGGGATTACAAAGAAGGTGGAATTAAAATACTGGTAACAACATGGAAGATGTGAGGGGAGTGATGGAAGACAAAGAGTTGTAAGGTTTTTGTACAGTTAAGGAAGAGAAAAGAGGAACAAATTACCTTTAAACTTTGTTAAGTACGCACGCTAAAATTCAAGGCTAATCTAAAGGAATACAAATGGAATATGTAACTTCTAAACCAGTAGAGGAAATAAAAAAGAAAAAGAAAAAGAAAGAAAATGCTAATAGAAAACAGGAAAAGAGGAGAGAAAAGGCAACAAAGACGAAATAAATTATATTTCTTGTAAGAAAAAAAACAGGAAACAAGTAAAGTAAGAAGTAATGGCCTCTTCATCACCTCCAATGCCACATCCCAGCAGCACCTTTCCCGACCTTTACAAACATATGTGTAGAGTACTCATATTTCAAATGCAATGCTCAGAATGTAGTTTACTCTTCTTCATTGGCTGCCTACAGGATGAAATGCAAACTACTTAGCAGAATACGTAAATCCCTGTATGACCTGGCCTTGACAACCTATCTTGCCTCGCCTAGTCCCACCACTACCCCAAATAGATCTTAATTTGAGCCACCTACATTGGTAGTTCCCTAAACACAGGACCTGCTTCAAGTCTTTGATATCTGTTGCTCTGTCTAGAACGTTCTTCTCTCTTCTTCTGTACTTGGCAGGTTCCTGCTGTTCTATAAGACTTTTCGTAAAAAAACAGCTTTCTGTGACAGTTCCCTTGACCTCCACCTCCTGGGTACAGTAATCATTCTGTATTTCCATAGCACTTTTGAACATACTTCTACTGGCCAAATTTCACTATATTATAATTACTTAAATGTCCTTCTTCCTCACCTCAAGCTAATTCATCTTTGAGTCTCCAGCACCTGGCAGACAGCAGGTATTTCATAAATGCTTATTAAATAAAAGATGAATATAGAGTTTCTAAACAAAATGAGGTTACGACACTCAGCAGTTCCCTCAACAGCTGCAGCTACGGCTCACCTCCACGATACTCTTGGTCACAGTAGCTCTTCCTCTCCGAAGTTCATTAGCTTCTCTTTCTGCAAAACACAGGGGCACTTTTCCTACAAGGACCAGAGAATCACTAGTGTCTGGAAATAGAATTTCAAGGCCCAGATCTTCCAGACTGTTGTGGTAACACCTAGAGAGAGACCCTCAAATGTAAAAGTACTGCTTCATTCACATTTCAGTGCTGGTTCCAAGTACCTGACAGTTTCTCAAAACCTGCCACAAGCTTTAAAAGTTGTGCTGTTTTTCTGACACTTATGGGTGTTTATTTGGGACTTTATCATCACATTTCCTGTTTGAATTACAGTAACCATCATTTTTTTTCTCTTTGCCATTGAGAAAATCAATTTGTTTCTAAGTCTTGTTCCTAAGTTTTTATTCTTCACTGAGGAATTGCTAACTTCTTCTCCTTGTTGGCACTTAGGAGTTTGGCACAAATAAAAGAGCTGAGAACGTTTTGAATCAGCATTAAAGCAGGGAGATAATTAACAGCCCCAGGAACTGAGAAGTCCTGATTAACGGGATGTAAATAAAGGGATCTGCCTCTAATATAAATTATGCCCCAGAGAAAAAGATTTATTGGCAGTGGCATATTCTCAAACCTGAAATAAATTCAGAGACAATTCTGCCTTTTTCATTTCCAATCATTTGTGCTGTCTAAAAGTAGGAAAACATCCTACTTGTGACTCACTACATGATTTGCCCCTTCCTTGCGGCCCCACGTTTTACTTTTTTCCCAGCATGATTACGGTAATGAAAACTAAGAATCTAGAATGCACTAAGGCAAAGCAGAATGGAAGCAATTACTGCAGTAACTTTGCTTTCAGAAACAGCACAGCATAAACACTGACTGTTCCAAGAAACGTTAAGAGTATTCTAAGCCAACTGCTGGAAAAAATTATCAGGGAAACTCTATCCTATACACAACAGCTGTGATATAGTGGAAAGAACAGCATTTGGAGTCAGAAGACCTGCATCTGAGTGCCTGCTCCACTACCTAAGAGCTGTTGTGACCTTGAACAAGTCATGTAACCTCTCCTGGTCTCAGGTTCCTTATCTGAAAAAGGAACAGTAGTCATGCTTATACCTCACAGAATTATCGTGAGAATTTACACTGTCAACCTCACATCCTCATGGTGGTACTAACCGTAAGAGTCTCCTCTGTTCCTCTGTCACTGATATCTCTAGTGGAGGACTTATAGTGGAAGACAGTAATTTCTTCCGACCAGAGCCTTGTGGCTGTTGCTTCTCATAGGAATCTATTGGGAGAAAGACGAATGGGTTAGGAGTAGGAAGTGAAGTCTTCTAGATTCATTTTCAGATAAAAATGAAGCATATGAGGCACAGCCATGTCATTATTATAGTGCTTAGCAGTGTGTTCAATATTCAGTTTTATGCTTTCAATTTCCATTATTGAAATCAAACTAGTAAATATTCAGTCTGTTTATTCATTTTAGCAGTATTTTCCAAAATAAGAAATACAAGACTTAAATCTTACATTCAAATGAACAATGCAATGTTCCCATAGACAGTCAATAAATGTGATTTTAACAACAGAGGTGAATAATCTGGATTATTGGGGAAATACAATGGGTTTACTACACAATCCTATGGCTCAGGAAGGCTTCCCCATTCCTTCAGAAGGGTTTCCCAGTCTCTGAAGACAAGTAGTCAGTAGTATTCTCAAATGGTCCAGGGCCTTAGCAAGTAAGTTTTTCTAATATTGTTTTTACTACATCTTCGCTAACAATTAGGTCTTGATTTTATAAGGAAAAGTGAACATGGAAGTAACATCATGGCCATTCTAGTCCATGGAAGATCTCTCTAGGTCCTCCCCTGCCTAATTCTTTGACATTAGGGTTTTTCATTACTTGACCACAGGAGCAAAGATTTTCCTGGTATTTTTCCTCTTGGGGAACACACTGCCTCATGATGAGAAAAAAGGGTAGCAAAGATTAAAAAGCATGTCCTGACTTTGAAAGGATAATAACAAATTAGTGATATGGTTGCCTCTGAGGAGAGAAACTAGGTGGGATGAGGGACAAAGGTAGAACAGAGATTTTATTATATTCTCTTTTGTACTGCTCATACTTGAACCTATTTAATTATACTCCCTACTCAGAAACAAATTAAATTTTAAAATAAAAACAATATATGGGGGAGCCGGCCTGGTGGCATTTTGGTTAAGTTCATGCACTCTGCTTCAGCAGCCCAGGGTTCACAGGTTCAGATCCTGGGCACGGACCTAGCACTGCTTGTCAAGCCACACTGTGGCAGCATCCCACATAAAATAGAGGGAGATGGGCACAGATGTTAGCTCAGCAACAATCTTCTCAAGCAAAAAGAGGAAGACTGGCAACAGATGTTAGCTCAGGGCCAATCTTCCTCGCACACACACAAAAAAAACAAAAACAAAAAACCATATATTGGGCCTTCTGAGCTGCTGGTGGTCTCTACCTGTTGAGCTGTGAAGAAAGCACACCAGGATCACATGGGCATGTGGAGGGCATCTTTGTGCTGGATGTCACAATAAAGCAGCCTGATCCCTCGATACCCAATCCTTATGGTTGATGATAAGTATATGGCAAATATGCCTTTGACCATGTACGACCCACATATTTGAATCAGTAAAGTGAACTACTACATTCTTTCAGTTATAAAAGAAACCAAACCAGAGAACTTCAGCTTAATTTTTTAAACATACAATTCATCTTTTCTCACAACACTCACAGAAAAACTCTTTCAGGTGCACTAATTCTGCTGGAGAGCCTCAGATCTTTTCTAGTTCTGAACAGGTCCTTACCAATAATAAGCTGTTCCAAACGGACACGCTCATGGGCAGCATGCTGATCCACCAAAACCAGCAGGTTTCCACCTAAAAGATTAGTAAGGATCACTGGAGCTTCAAATTCTCAGATCACGATTAAAATGATCATGTTGTGTTGAGGGAGAAGAGCTTAATTCAAACTGTTTAACAAGAGGAGCATAAGAGAAACATATATACTGAGTAGTAACAGTTGTATCTTTTATTTTCTAAAAAATCAAAATTATGGGGGAAACGACAACAAATTTATCCCTGATGAAAAACTGTTTAGTTCATTAGTATTTCATTTATGAAACACGGTTAAAGCCCTACATTCTTACTGTTTAAATCCTGATTTTGCTTTTTTAATTCAAATTTGATACAATGAAGTATCATTAAACTACACATTATTATAATCAGCTGACCTTGATTTGCAAGCTACTCTGGAACCCAAGAAGAATGCAATCCTACTACACTTCAGATCAGAGGTGAGCAAATTTTTTCTGTGAAGGGCCAGACAGTAAATATTTTAGAGTTTTGGGACACATGGTTTCTGTCACAAATATGCAACTATTCATTTTGAACCAAAGCAGCCATAGACAACATGTGAATATTGTAGCTATGTTCCAATAAAACTTTATTATGGACACTAAAATATTAATTTCATGTAATTTTAATGTGTCAAGAAATCTTCTTCTTCTTTTGCTTTTTTCCCCCAACTATTTAAAAATGTAGAAACCATTCTTATCTCCCTGGCTATACAAAAATAGGTAATGGCTGGATCTGGCCCACAGGCCACAGATTGCCTTGCTTTAGACTCAGGTTTCTCAAACTTTGACAGGCCTACAAATCACCTGGGGATCTTATTAAAATGCAGATTCGGATTCAGTAGGTTAGGGGTGGGACACAAGACTCTGCACTTCTAACAAAGTCCCAGGTGTTGCTATTTACAGACCATGACTTTGACCAGCAAGACTTTAGACTCTCAAGTGCAAGAGAGGAGGCAGAATGTCCTGACCCAAAAAGCCAAACCTACAGGGAAATCTCTTTCTCATTGACACGTCTGATTCATAGTTACATTCATACATCTTTTTAACTTGTAATTTTATTACTTTTGGCCACAGAGCTGAGGTTTATTGCTGCTGATTATATAGAAATAAAAGTTCTCCTCTTGAATTTGTTCAAAATAGATAATGCCTATTTTTCCTATTTCTACTAAAGATTAAAAAACTGTTTCTATGGCACCATCAAATTCATGGCATGAGAGATTAAGCTTTAAAGAAAAAAAGGAAATAATTTTTTTGACAGCAGTTCAACCACAGAAACAGCTCCAAAATGTTGAATTTTAAACTCCTTTGAGGATAGGAGGAGTTGCAGCTGGTTGTGATGAATACTGAACATCCTGTATTGGGCAAAACAATGGAATAAATAATAAATTTTGAGGGAGCAACCTCAAACTTGAAACTAGAGCCAAGGTGAATTACCAAGAGTCAGGGACCCGAAGAAGTCAACCTTGTGCCCGCCTGTGGAGGAACGGTTTATCGTCTACGTAGCGTTCATGACATTTTCCATTTCTTGAATGAAGCAGAATATATTAAGGTAATTTACTCATGTCAGAAGCTGTATTTTTGATATTCCAACACAACAGAATAGAAGCTTCATAAGGGCAAGGACTTTGTCTGTAATATTCCCAGCATGTGTATCAGCACCAGGACATAAGAGGCACTCAGTAAATAGTTACAGAATAAATGAATGCGTCCTTATTCTTTTGGGTATCATAAGTGAACAACTGTATGTTATTGTAGGTAGAAACATGCAATAAAAAATGCCAATATATGGCATTAATTTCACTATAATTTAAAACAATAATGTATTTGTCCCTTGTAAAAATTTGTGCAAATATTAAAAGTAAGTCAATTATAGGAATAGCTTGCTTTTGGTATTTGTGAGCGACAGTAAAAACACTCACATTTTGATTTAGAAAATGTATTTATCTAAGAGTATTCTTTGGTGACAGCCAACGAATACAATAATAATATAGAATCTCAAGAGAAATTTCAGAGGGCCATTTTTCTTCTTCGAACATCCGCAGATTTTGTGGCTACATCCATCTCAGGTGCCACTAGTGGAGGTTTTGGGATTAAACAACAAAGAATTCCAGGCAATCAAAACTTTAGAAAAAAATCTAGTCATTTTCTAGAAACAGTAGGGAAGAAAACTACTACAATTTGACCTTTACTAATTCCATATTTATGATAATTATGACAGAACTGTTGGTTAATTTGCCTTTGATCTACTACGACATTTACTTAATAAATCTACAATGTAAACAAGGTAAAAGGGAATATTTTGAAATACAAAGAGAATGAACTGCTTTCAAACTTTAGAAGCACTCGCCTGCAGGTTTACCTGTCTGGAGCTGACCCCTCCACTGGTGCCAAGGGTTCTCGGCCACTCAGGCCTTTCCCAGAACCTTACACTATAAAACATTCCTTGTAAATGTGTTCAAGAGTCTCCCAGTTTGGGGGAAAAAAAAAAGCCTTCTCTAAGCCTCATCCTCCTTCAGTCCCTCTCTTCCATGTCACAGATTTCCGAGGCTCTCCTTGTGGTCTCTGTCAGCATCCTGACCTATTTCTTCTCTGAAACAGCTCTCATTTATTTAAGTCTCTGACTTCCACTGTCAGGAAATTGAATAGATACTTTTGGTCTTCACTTTAACCTCTCAGCAGCATTTAGTACAAAGTCTTGGTTTTGCAACAGTACCTTCATCTGTTTTCCTCCTATTTCTCTAGCTGTTCCTTCACAATCTCTCTTGCTGGTTCCCCCTTTTCTACCTAGCTGTTAAATGTTGGAATTATTCTAGATTCAGAATCTCTCCTCTCGTCACTCCTCACTCCTTTTCTAGGTGATAAAATGTACACCCATGACTTCAATGACCAACTTTATGCTGACAACTCACATTTATATCTCCATGTCAGAATGCTTCTCTAATCCCAGACTGTAATATCCAACTACATTGTTGACATCTCTTCTTGAACATTTCAAAGAGACTTCAGACTGAACTCATGATTTTCACCTTGCCTGCCTGATTCTCCTCCAGTCGGGTCCTGCAACATCATCCACTCAGTTATGGAGGTCAGAAAACTAGGAGTCATCTTTGATATACCTTCCCCATATCTAATCCACCACCAAGCCCTGTTCACTTTATCTCCTAAATATCTTTCCAATGCATTCACTTCTCTCTAGTCCACCCTGGTCCCAGCTAACCATAATTTCTTAGATATTGCAATATCCTTCACACAGTCTCTCTGCCTTACTGGGACTCCACCCCCACACCCAATCCATTTTCAACACTGCTACCAGAGCAATATTTTCAAAATGCAAATGTGATGTGACACATGCCACTGCGAAAACAAACTAAAAACGGAAAACAAAAAGCTTTCAATTGTTTCCAGTTGGTGTTGGGACAAAGAAAAAGCTTGTAAGCGGCATTTACAATCTGGCTGTGACCTCCTTCTCTAGCTTCACCTCCTTGCTCTCACTCCAGCTGCACTTGCCCTACTTCCTCTCACTGAATGGGAGGAAATCACAAAGTGCATGTGTTATTCCCTCTGCCCAGGGTCGTCCTCCTCCCTCCCTCCCTCCGGTACCTGGTTACCTCATCCTCACACTTCTGATCTCACTTTACCAAGAAAACCTTCCCTGACCTTCCAGACTAAATCAAGTCTCCCACTCCACATCATCTTGTTTCTCTCCTCCAAAGCACTAGCTACGGGAAGAACTTTAACATTTGTGTAATTATCTGTTTCTGTGCCATGTATATTTTTTCCCACTATCGTATCCCTAGGGCCTGGTACAGTCTCTGGCATGAAATAAGCACTCAATCAATATTTGTTGCATGAGTTAAGGTTATAATTTACAAACTACTATTGTTTTATTAAAGCAGGTCACCAAGTAATTATATGTAACTCTTGATAAACCTAGCAGAGTTCATTATATAAACTTCTATTATTATAAATGGAATACATGAAAATATTATTTAAAAGTCAAACAACAGGGGCCAGCCCCATGGCCAAGTGGTTGGGTTCACACGCTCCACTGCGGCGGCCCAGGGTTTCACTGGTTCTGATCCTGGTTGCGGACATGGCACCGCTCGTCAGGCCATGCTGAGGCAGCATCCCACATGCCACAACTAGAAGGACCCACAACTAGGATATATAACTATGTACTAGGGGGATTTGGGGAGAAAAAGCAGAACAAAAAAGAAAAAAAATCAAACAATATAAAATATTCTAAAGAGTAAAAGACGAAATTTCCCCTTTGCCCATTCCCATTCTCACTCCCAAGGTAACAACTACTAATAGTTTAACGTGTATCTTATATATATGTATATATATATTTATATATATAAAAAACTAGGGTCCGGCCCCAGGGCTGAGTGGTTAAGTTCACACGCTCCGCTTCGGTGGCCCAGAGTTTCGCCGGTTCAGATCCTGGGTATGGACATGGCACTGCTCAACAGGCCGTGCTGAGGCGGCGTCCCACATAGCACAGCCAGAGGCACTCACACCTACAGTATACAACTATATACTGGGGGGCCTTGGGGAGAAAAAGCTGAAAAAAAAAAAAACTAAATGTACTTTAAAACTGTTGTTTCATAATATCAATTCAGAGTGGTTTTCCCTAATCTGTCCAAATCACTGTATATAAAAAAAAATCCTTAAAAGGAAGTTATCAGAAGACCAGCTGTTTATTAATCAAAGCTAAACTCCATTCTTACCTGCCTCACCATTCTCTTCAGTCTTAGTGCTCATTAAACAGGCAATAAACTTGTTATCCACTTGCTGGAGAACCTGCCACACATTCAAATAAGCAGTACAACACTAAATAAAAATTAACAAAGGCTTATCTGCATAGAAAGAGACAAAACTGTACTTAATTTAGAGTTGTTTGCATTATAACATTCTTATCTAAGACTGAGGGAAGGTGCCAATGAACCTGAGGGAGTCCTCAGGAAGGATAAAGAATGGGCAAGTAGAGCAATCAGAAGACATAAAGGAAAGAAGACCACATGGGAACACAGACTGAGGCATCTAAGAGGGACATGCTAACAAAACTTTAGAGCTGACCTAGAATGTTCCCAACAGAATGACTCTTATTAATAGGTAATATGATCAGATTGCTAAGAAATAAGGCTGAAATAAATTTTGGAAATTTATGCAAAAGTGAGGAAAACCAGTTTGGAGGAGCTAGTCCATTAAAAGCCACCCTGGCATTAGACTTTAGTGGCTCCTCTCTGTCCAGGTACAGATAAAGTTCCCTCATTGGCCCCTAATCTACACCACTTCCCCAGGGTCTATTTCTGGCCCAAGTGCTTGCTCTGTTCTGGTACCAGGTAAACGCCACATTAGTAGTTTACCTAGATCTGTCTAACCTCCTGATTTGATTCCATATTGAAATCAAGGAGATGAAGACAGCCAGAGTGGTACAGAGAGGGCAAACTAGAAAAGCAGATGAGACAAGGGGTCCCTTTTGTTAACAGAACTCCTCAATCTGGGGTCTCCTGAGCAATGTCGTTTGCAGCCTCACACAACAGAGGGTAATTTAAAAAGGGACACTGGTGCACATTTAAGGACAATGTCTCTACAGTACTCAGTCAAAATATGAAGTCAATATATAATCTTTGAAACTGTGGGCCTGAATCCATAATTTGTTCCTCTAAACCTGCTCATACTGAGGACATTTTTTTCTTTGTAATTGTAATTAGTTCTTTGCTTTTTCTTCTGATGATAAAAGTTCCAGTAAGATTTAAAAAAACACATGTGCCTTGACCTCGGTGGTCTATATCATTAACTAAATCCAATTTCACAAGAGTTAGTCTAGCTTACGTCTTAAGTATATTTTTAAGAGATTTCAAAGTCAATCTTTTACCTGCATCGAATGAATCATTTCTTTAGTGAAACGATAAGGATACAAGATGTTGTGAATTTTAACTGCTAAGCTCTCAGCCTGGCCACTGCTTACATCAAGAGCAACCTAGAAAGAACCAGCACAAACATCATTTAAATTTTAATTTTATGTCTGCAGAACTAGAGATTTTACTAGAGATCTCAAAGTGCCTTAAAAACGTTCATTTTCACAGAACCTATTAGAGGTCAGTTGAATTCGGGGAACTTATAGAAACTCAAAAGGCTCTACGAATTATTAGTCTTTTTTTTTTTTTTTTTTTGAGGAAGATTAGCCCTGAGCTAACTTCTGCCACCAATCCTCCTCTTTTTTGCTGAGGAAGACTGGCCGTGACCTAACATCCATGCCCATCCTCCTCCACTTTTTTGTACGTGGGATGCCTGCCACAGCATGGCTTGATAAATGGTGCATAGGTCTGCACCCGGGATCCAAACTGGCATACCCGGGGCCACTGAAGTGGAACGTGCAAACTTAACCGCTGTGCACCAGGCCAGCCCCTTTGAATTATTAGCTTTAAATAATAATTTTTGTTTATAAACAAAATTACTGACAGAAATCAATATTGTTTCAGAATAACATTCTGTCCATGCTCCATGCTCAAGCCTTTAAAGATATCTTAACTGAAGAACCAGGAATCAAAGGCTCAACTATTATACACCTCATTACAACACACAAAGTACATTCTGTGATAACCCACTGAGGACAGAACGTATGCTCAGGTCCAGTGATGAACTGTTCCTCCAGTAGAAGATTTACTGCTTTATCTAATGATAACAGGTTTCATTATCACCACCTTAAATACTTCGCCAAAACTGCAAGTCAGGGTTTCTAAGAGTGGTAAACACATTCGATATTCACACACTGATTACACACGTTTAATCCAAAACGTCTGAACTCCCAATATGCTATGAATTCTGATTCTCTACATTAAATACTAATTTCCAAATAAACTATTTGGAAACATGCCCACTTTGCATTTGTAATTACAAATTAGTACAGTCCTTCATGCCAACACCCAACTTAAATGAAATTCAAATTTTAAAACAGGCAAAGAAAAATTGCTGCAGACCCACCTCTGGATAACGAGCAAATACGGGATTGTCCCATTCTGAGAACAAAGACTGAAGCGATTCACTACCAAGAGCATCAGACACGGTATCTAGGGCAAAAGGGGACAGGTAAAGTCGGCATCAATGGCCTCAGGGAAAAGGGTGAATGGCATCTCATATTTGGTGTGGTGTAGCTCAAGACCAAAGATCAGACATATTGTTCCAATATTCTACAAATGTTCAGTGTTTGCTCTATCTCTAAATTGTTTTGATCTGTTATTTTTAAAACTACAATTGACGACCGTATCCTCTGGCATTATAGCTTTTTCTCCAAATTATTTTCAAGAGAGATTTCAGAATACAAGTCCAGAAGAAACTGGTTCAAATTAGTAGCCTCACTTCCTTTAGGTAAAAATATACCTTCTCTATTTTCAGAAACAAAAAAAGAAAAAAGAATAAATGTCGTTAGCTTTTTGTGTAGTAAGAGTTTTCTTACATAAAACTACTGCAATATGGAGTGCAACTCCAATCTTTAAAAATAAGAACCATTTTCTCCAACACAAGACACCACAGACTGCATAATCACCCAGTATTGACCTCAAGTCTGGAAAAGTAATTTCTGATCTAAATGCATGCACTGAAGTACTTAGTTCTGCTGTTAAATAGGACTGTGGGGAACTCTTGGTTCTATTAAGGCACAGCTGGCACTGATCAAGCTTAATAATACAACCCTGCTTGTTTTTCGAGTTAGGTGGCACAGTGTGTACTAAGTGTACTGGCGATCTCTCTTATTACCCCTACCTCTGTTATTCTGTCTCATCACAGTCCTCTCTTCCCGAGCTCTAGGAAGGAAAGGAAGAACAAGGTCGCTTCTAAAAGGATGACACCTGTACTGAAATCCTAAATATAAAAAAGAAAAACCTAGATATTTGAACTCAAAATATAAACTATTAAGAAGTTAAGTTACACAAAATCTCTTTATGCACAAACTGAATTGAGACATAAGGCAGACTAGTAAACACTTGATTGAGAGTCAGATGTTCTGTAATGAAATTATTCTGCTAACTTAGGAATCTACATTAATGCTTAGTCCCATTATCCATCTAAACCAGACAGAATGAGGACCTCAAATAGACCACTGATTCTCAGTGGAGGCAATTTTGCTTGGGGAACATTTGGCAATATTTTGAGACATTTTTGGTTGTCACAACTTGGGTGAGGGGTGCTACTGCCATCTAGCAGATAGAGGTGACGGATGCTGCTAACTATCCTACAATGTATAGGACAAACCCTACAACAAAGAATTATTTGGTCCAAAAGTCAACTGTGCTACCGTTGAGACACTCTGTATTAGACATATAGTGGTACTTAATTGCCATCCTTCACTACTTGGTGCAACCTTCACAAGTCCCCAATTTATATGTCTCTTATCACCAATATATGAGTCTATTATAACAATTATGTCATCATACTAGAATTATGTTTAGATAGCTGTCTTCCCTAATAGACTGTGAACTCCTGAAAGCAAAATTAATCCACAATGTGGCGGCACCTAGCACAGTGTGAACGATCAATAAGTGACTGAATAGACGAACGAATGAAAAGTTCTCAATTTAATCTCCCAAATCCAAATTATACCCTCCTCTCTGAAGGATGATCAGATTTGAGTGTTAGAAACAATGCTGAATTAGACAGTTTTGGGACAGGGCAAAACATGATGAGATTATTATTTCAAAAAGATAAATCTTGGGGCCAGCCCAGTGGCACAGCAGTTAAGTTCGCACGTTCTGCTTCATTGGCCCATGGTTCACTAGTTCAGATCCCCAGTGTGGACATGGTACCGCTTGGCAAGCCATGCTGTGGTAGGTGTCCCACATATAAAGTAGAGGAAGATGGGCACAGACATTAGCTCAGGGCCAGTCTTCCACAGCAAAAAGAGGAGGATTGGCAGCAGATGTTAGCTCAGGGCTAATCTTCCTAAAAAATAAATACATAAATAAATCTGTTGGACAAAAACTGGAGAAAGATTAATTCAGAATGATAAAATTAAAGTGTGATGTGAAATAAGGTTGTGTCGTTGGTAATAGAAAGGACAGAGTTAAAAACATTTTAAAGGAAAAAACTGCCAGGGCTTGGAGGCTTGACACTACTCCTTAAAATCACCTTTATAGATCCTCTTCTGTGCAATTAAATTTACCTAATGTAACATTTTTGTGTATGGTTCAACAATGTCCTAATGTCCTGCCATACATCAGCCAGAAGGGTAACATTCCATGTGAATGGACAGTGCTTAGGAGCCATCTTTTCATGGAACTTGTTTCTATACCCAAAATATTTTTCAGTATGAAACTCTAAGTTAACATGACTTTCAGAAGTTCACTACAAGATTTGCTAATCCAGAAAGTTAAGTAGGTTGAAGTGTTTGAAACATCTAGATTTATTTAACAGGAACAGATGTTTATGTTGAATATGGCAGCCAAGACTTCCCCCTTTGTTTTAGCAACAACCATCTCAGTTTAATGTAATCCAGTGATTTTTTGTCATCATGTCAGAAGCAGCTATATTCAGGAAGATGAGGTGCCAGTGCCTTAGACTGATGTCTGTCTGATAAGCATTCAGTATAAATCAGGACATAAAACTACACAGACTGAAAGATACGTGTCTTGAAGAGCAATCTGATAGTCTCAGGACCAGTAATGAAAGAAAAGGCTTTTCTCCTATTTAATACTTTGAAAGTTACTACAGTGATTATTTTTTTCACAAGGAAAAAAACTAGAAATCATTGAAAAATAAAGCTCCTATTTAACCTTAAATAAATCAGAGCCTCCTGCTAGAGATATTCACCCTAAGGAGAAACTATAAATTAATCTGCAATTACATTCATACAATTTACATTCTTTTGCAACATTCAAGGCTTTTAATATGGATGCACATTTAATGTTTATCCTCCTGATGTAAAACCAAGATTATATATACCCAGATGGAAATCAGCTTTACTATCTCCCAACATCTGGCTCTCAATACACTGCCAAAACACTGTCACTTTTAATGTTGACTGAGACCTGAGAACTGAGGCCTAGTCTAGGCTCTGAAGTAGCCTTGTGGTATGGTCTAAAAGCCACATTATCATTTTCCTGAATAACAGCTACTTATACCATAAATAGATCAAGTGTATTAGCATATGTATTATAATAAAGTACACTTAAAAAGCATAGTTATGAAAATACATACTTAACTTATATTCCAAAAAAATTATGGCCAAGTACTATTTTCAAAAAAAAAAAAAAAATCCACAAATATAGTACTGTACCGAGCCATAGATTTTAATGGGAAACCTAAGATAACAACAGGGTCATTCTAGCCCTTTAGCTGGCAGCTGCAGAGAGAAAATTCTAGAAAAATACCACACTTGCATTGTAGGTGCCTTTATTATTTATTTACTTATTTTCGAGGAAGATTCACCCTGAGCTAAGATCTGTTGCCAATCCTCCTCCGTTTTTTTCACTCAAGGAAGATTAGCCCTGAGCTCACATCCATGCCAGTCTTCCTCTGCTTTGTACATGGGATGCCTCCACAGCAGGGCTGAGCGGAGTAGGTCTGCTGAAGTGGAGTGTGCAGAGCTTTAACCACTCAGCCACAGGGCTGGCCCCCTGCAAGTGCCTTTAAAGACAAATTTCTAAGAGAGTTGTGCTCGGGAGAGAGCAGAAAGAAGTTGGGGAAGCCCCGTGGATCTTCTCAACTATTAATAGTACCATTTTCATTAAAAACTGTCTCACCCTCTTACACATAAACACACCCATAAACACTTCCATTCTATATCAAGCTTATATTGTATTTCCAGATTTAAATAGTATTGGACCTAGAGAATCTTCATGTACCATAAAAAATATTTCATAATTAAACTTAAAAATGTTCTATCAGCTGAGATAATCTCTTTGAACAATGATGATCTTACTCCTCGGCCATTATTCCCATCTTCAAAAGCATTGCATGCCAGTGAACACTACATCCTTACCATTCTCGAGCATGACATCCACAGCCACAGTTGTCAGATCTTTAGTACAAGCAGCCTGAACATCCTCAGTAGGAGCAGTGAAAGTGCTAAGTCCAGTTGTTTTGTTGATATAAACCATTCTTCCCAGGGCTACATCAAAATGCTGCTGCCAATCCAAAGAACATGTGTTTGACTCTTCATTTTCAGAACAAGTTCTTGCTATAGAGTCCTCACTCTGAAAACAAGTTCCATTTTGGCCAGCTTCCATGTGACTCATTAACATGCTACTGGGAGACTCAAGACTTCCTCTCTGTTGTTCTGAAGCTATAAGAACATCTGAATCTTTACTGCCCGCTTTAGAATTATTACAGGGTAATACCAAAGGAGTTTCTGGTATCACAGAGCTCTCTGTTGTATTGTTGTTAGAATATGTTTCACTATCTTTATTGAAGGTATTATCCTGTGTGACAGAGTCTGATGTTGGGACGATGCCACTCTCTGTTTTTTTATGCTCATTTTTAAATAACTTACAGGAATCTAGGGCTAACCCAGTGCCCAAGTCACTGTCTTTCCTACTGGAATCCGATTGTAGTTGTTCATTAAAGTGACTCACCACTTCCATTGTTTGAGTCTCTCTCTCAGAACCTTTCATTCTGGATAATTTAGAGGCTAGAGATTCAGGTGACTTCTCAACATCCAAAGTTTTTCTGTTAAAATGAGATAACTCCTTTAGAGTCACAGGACTTTCTCTTAAGCAAGGCATCTGTTGTTCCAAACAATCTTCTTCCTTGGAGAATGGAAAGTTCTCTGAGTAAAGAATGTGACGGACTGGTTGACAACTATTATTTGAATCATTATGTCTCACAGTAGTGATTTTACAAATGTCAGAGTTGTCCAAGTGGTTCTTACCTTTCTGTGGAATGTCAGGTTCAACTTGAGGACTGAGATTGGTAGTAATTTCAAAATTATTATTTTCCTCCATTTCTGTATTCAGAGGATTTTCAACCTTCCCATATTGCCTCTTAAACTTCTCTAAAGATCCTAGTTGTGAACTTAAGCTTAGCTTCTTATGGGCTATGGGCTTGGAGGAACCAATCAACTTATCTGTTTCCTCATTACCATTTGAAACATGTCTACACCAAGGGAAAGAGGAGGATGTGTCAGGTGATAAGCAGCCTGTAGGTGACTTTTTACTACCTTCCTGAAAAACAGCAAAATTTTTATAACCTACAGGTTTGTTCTCTAGCCCGTAACTTATATTTGTCCTGCACACTTTTTTGTTGGGCAGCTGAGCAAATTCTGTACTTAAAGTGCTGGTTAAATCTTTGATGTTTGGAGTCTCAGTTGAATGGCATGTTCTATTTCCAAATGTTTCTTTGGCACTCGCAGGACCAGGTCGAACACAATTTTTAAATAAATGCTCTGTTTCAGTTGATTTAGTTTGCTCCCTTTGTACCACATGAGTTATAAAGCCAGTGGAACATAATTTAATTTGTCCGTAACTAAAAATGTTTATCCTTCCGCAATTACTAGGTTCTTCTTCTCTTTTCTCATCCTCTCTCTGAGCATCATGTACTCTCAATGTTGTTGTCTCAAAAGGCAGAGGTTGGCATCCCATCTCAGTAGCATCTTTAGATCTCTCGAGTTGATTCTGAATTCTATTATTTTTCAGGATGCTGGCAGTCATGTCATTAACAGTAGTACTTACTTTCTGCATTTCTGGATCTTCTCCACTCTCCTCCAAGTGATACGATGTCTGAAAAGGGCTTGCAAACATTTCTGAACTGGTTCCACATGGATCTCCTGAAGAGTTAAGTTCCAAGCAAGATTTTTTATGTTTCTCATTTTCTCCTGATTCTGATGCTTTAGCTGTCTCTCGTTCTAAGATCTCTGATTCTGAGTGACAGCTATCTTTGTTTTGTAAAGATGACTCCGTCATTTTACTACAGCCCGGGTCATCTGAGTTGTAAGTGTACAAAAATGAATCACTTGCCTTTTTTCCAATAGCTTCTGAATCCTTAGAATTCTGTATGTTTTCTATAGTAGCTTTTCTTTTCACAGCTTTTGACTGCATATTAAACATTTCATAGGAATCCAAAATAGTATTACATGCTTCTTGGAAACTGACCTGGTCACCCTTCTCATCAGAGGACACATGCTTCTGAAGAGTAGCGTTAAAAAAACTAAAATCATTATCTTCACTAAATTCCTTAATGTCCTCACCTGATAATTCCACAAATAATTTTTCTTTCTTTAAAAACATTTTCACTCCTTCCTGAACGCAAACCAAAGGAGTATCCCAGTTCTGAAACTCAATCAGAGTTTTTGCTGGATCCATGCACACATCATACTCACAGAATTGGCACTGCATATTGATTACATATATCCCATGGAGTTCTGGGTTGGACCTATATCGAGGATTTGAAGTCATTTGCCTACTGGCAGAGCCATTCTTTGGTTTGCATATAATACTTTCTTTCCTTAATAAAAAGTCAATGAGTTTATGTAACTTTGTCCTTAAAATTAGCCTTCTATTCACAAACAAAAACTGCATATTCTTATTATAATGTGCTTCAGAGCTGATATAGCCACTGAGCTCAAACTCTTTATATTTAAAATTTATTTCCCTTAACTTTTGGGACTTGCCCAGCCCATAAATTTGACAAAATCGGGAACATACGTCTTTGGTTTTAGGGAGCTGAAGAACCATGGAACCAGAAACATCATTCCTCAGAGAGAAAGAAATGGAAGGGTGCATGAGTGAGAGTGCCTCTACCCTCTGCCTAACTTTCTCAAACTCCAGTCTGGGATCCATGCATTTCCTTCGTACAGGTAACTGATAAAATAGGTTATAGACTGTTACTGTTGTCCCAGCGCTTGGTCTACTCAACTCAGCTTCACAAGCTTTCAGGGCTTTTCCATTCTGAAACAGTTTCACAAAAGTTTTCATTGTTTTGTTTTTCTTGGATGAAATTTCCACAGCACTGGCCATGTCAGCTATACTTGCCAAGGCCTCCCCTCGGAAACCATAAAACCTTAGGTTCTCCAAGTCCTGCAGAGAGCTGCATTTACTAGTGAAATAACGATTTCCCACCTTGTCTACATCATCACTCCCCATCCCAAATCCATTGTCTATCACTTGAACTTGGAAGGTTTCCATATTCACCCTGACAGCCACACATTTTGCTTCAGCATCAATACTGTTCAGGGCAAGCTCCTCAACACACTGGCCTAAGGAACAGATAGCCAAACCAGAACGCAATTTGGCTTGTACTTCGACTGACAAGCGCTTGATCATGGCAGGAGGAAAGCTGGTGAGAGTGCCAGGCACTGGTTTCCTTCTCTGACTGGAAATAATTGCCTGGGGAAGGAAAAACACACACGCACATTATCAAAGCTTCAGAGTTATATAGCATTACCCATTTCTTTCAAGCATTAGGAAGAAGTATCATCTGAGTTCAATAAAATCTCTCATTAAACCACATTGTAAAACAAAACGAAACAAATTATAGTTCTGATCTCTAGGCAGATCACACAGCTCATGTTTGGTGCTCAACAAACTTAAATAACATCCAAAGTAGCATTCATAATTTCCTAATTTTCACGGCTCCTTTCTAAATCCCACACGCCCTAAAGTGAAATCAGAACCACATTTGAAGTTGACCCATAAAGACAGTGTTCGAAATTCTAATCGCTTCACCAAAAACAGATGCCCAAACTAAATTCAGCTAAGAAACATGAGCTAGAATTTATTCATGAAAAAGATGTCCAAGCTAGTTTTATAACATTCATATATTACATGATAACCATGACTTTTAGAAAAAATTCATAATGAAGTGTTAAGACACTGTAATAAGAAAGGGGAAGGGGGAAATTAAAAAAAAAATCAAATTGTTGTATCAAGAAGAGATGGGCATTAAGAGAGTATTATTAATTATTACTATTATTGGTTAAATGTAGTTGCCTCAGAGGAAAGAGACTGGGACTGGGGAAGGATAAGGCAGGGAAACTCCTTTTCATTCTAAGCCTTTCTTGTTCTACCATTTGATTTTTAAATCTTCTTCACAGATTACTTTGATAAAAAGTTTTCAGAAGGTCCTTATTATTAATATTCTTTTGTATAATACTCTTTTGGTCTTTACAGATGGCTACACTCTATCTTGGCAATAACAGTGATGGTCAGAGGCTGTCTGAACTTGATTTTAAGTTTTCTCGCAGGTAAAAAAAATCAAGATTATAGTGCAATTAAAGGTCCCCACCCTTCTTCCTAGCTGACAGAGGAGCACGGGCTGAACCTCTCCAAGATGGTAGGGCTAGTTTTTCAAACCCAGGAAAATCAGAGCTGTAACTGCAAATCTGATGATTTCTAAGATAATGAACTCCGCAGCCGGCAACAAATGAAAGGTAAACGTTTAATAAGTATTCCGACTGCTACCCAACTCAACGATTTCCTGATCACATCCCAGTCCTTTCACGACCACAGCTCCTGGGTCAAGTGGGGGCGATTCCGCCTAGGGGCTGCGCTAAGAAACTTTCCGGGGCTGGGCCCGGGCGCGGACCCCCAGGCTCAGGCTCCACCCCGCCCCTCCCCCAACCCTCACCCCGCACCCCGGCCGCCGGCACGCGGGCGCCCGCGCGGAAGACAGGCCGAACCCTCTGGGCACCCTCGCGCAGCTGGGTCCGAAAAGCTGGCCCGCAGCAGGCGTCACCGCCCTTCTGCTGTCAGAAGAGCTCCCGGGACCATCCTTCCGTCGCGTGCTCCCCCCCACGTCACCTCGAATCGCCCTTCTCCAACTCCCCTACCACCAACCGCCTTGGACGCCGGACGCGCGCACGTTGGCTCGCGCGGCTCATGCACGCGCGCGCCCACGAGCATGCGCTTCTGAGGAGGCTCGGCGAGGACTCCCTTTGGTCCGTGCGGCCCCGATGCGCACGCGCACCAGTGTTACCTGTTTAGCTGCTGACGCGTCCGGGGTGTTTTCACATTGGTGCTCTGAATTCTCGATCTTTATGCCCTTTTAGTCTTATGTGAAAAGCTGTTTCTAGCAACTTTTGCCTTTTTCCAGTTCCCCCTTTCGTCCTTTCTCGTTTGCGCGTACTACCATTTATTAAATATATATTTTATTTGCTTGTCTCTTCACTCACTAGAATGTAAGCTAGATGAAGGTAGGGGTTTTTGTCTGTTTTGTTTACTGCTGTATCCCATGGCCAAGAACAGTGCCATGAGTTTTGTGGATTTCAATGAATGAATAAATCCAGAGCCTTCCATCTTACAGAATTATAGCATTTCAGAGCTGGAAAAGACTGAAAAACTGTGTAGCTCAACTTAATTTACGGATGAGGACACCAAGACTCTCTTCATTGACTTTTCTGGTATCTTCCCAATACCACGGCAGCTTCTTTTCTAGCAGAAGGAAAGTGGAATTCTAAGAACACTGTGAGAATAGGTGTTTTGGGAATTGTTACCAATCCGTTTTTGCTGTCCATCTCATTTTCATTAACACCTTCTATTTTTAAAAATTGGAATTTATGACACGTGTCAAACCCAGAAAGCATTTGATACATATTGTTTAATGGCTGACCAAACCAAATCAGACTTCTAGGGCTGATCAAGCAAAATCTTTATTGCTTGTATGAGTTTGCTAGGGCTGCCGTAACACAAAATACCACCGACTGGGTGGCTTCCACAACAGAAATTTATTTTGTCAGTTCTGGAGGCTGGAAGTCTGAGGTCAAGATGTCAACATGGTTGATTTCTTCTGAGGCCTCTCTCCTTGGCTTGTACATGACTGTCTTTTCCCTCTGTGTTTACATGTTCTTTCCACTGTGCACACACGTGTCTCTGTCCAAATTTCCTTTTTATAAGGACATTGGGGCATTCTGGATTAGAGCCATCCTAATGGCCTCATTTAAACTTAATTATCTCTTTAAAGGCCCTATTCCCAAATACAGTCACATTCTGAGGTACCTAGGATTAGCACTTCAACATATGAATTTTGGGGGGTCATAATTTAGCCCATAACATTGCTTTATGTGAATTCCTTACCCAGAGGAAAGGAGTGACAGCAGAAACTCCAGAAAACTAAAAGTAATTAGCCCAAAACATCATTTGAACAGCTAACAAATTGAATTTGAGCTATTTGTTCTTATTAGGTGTGCAATTTCCTGAAGAAAAACTTTACGGAAACCATTTAAAGAAATGATTCAAAGTAACCACTTTTTCTTTCAGACCTCTTTAAATTACCTTACAATTCTCTTCCCACAGATGTTTACTGAGTAAATACCTCTTCTTTTGCCCAAAATGAAGTTCACCAAAGATAAAGATAGGCTTTAATGTGTTTTTATTGATTAGAACTGTGTACACTTGAATCCTTGCATCATATAATATACAGTAGCAAGCAAATAACTGGTGCTAAAATAACTTACTGACAAATTCTAATACTGAGCACAGAATAGTTCTATCTCTATTAACAATAAAAAACAAAACCACAAGTTTATCTTGGGAAATTTAAATTCAGGCTATTATTTCACAATTTGGAAATCTGAGTAATCCAACTTTAAGATGACTTTCTCATTGCTGAAGCTTGCTCTGTCGATGTGCGATTTGGGACTTCCTTTTGTCTCAAGCCATTCTTGCATATGACGCACTTTGGAGATGGGACCTTGCACCTGTCCTTGCACTGTGCCCTCGTCAGTGTTCTGGACCCAGCCTACCAATCCCAGCTTTTTACCCTCAGTCTAAGGGAAAGAAAAAGACAAGAGAGAGAAATCCAGTGAGATTGAACAAAACAAAGTGAAACTACAATCTCTTGCCAGAATCTTGGCCTAGAATCAAGCCACTGAAACTAATTTGATATTGTCCAGAACAGTCAAAACAGAACCACAGCAAGGAGAATCTCATTGCTGATGTTAACATGAAGTGTTGGTCAGTTAACTCCATTTCCTTCTTCCACCCTATAAAACCCAGGCACTAGAATTTTTTACTGTGTAGTCAATTTGGTTAAGTACTAAAGACTTAAGACCAAATCAAATGCTTTCAAAATCATTCCCTAAGGCTGACTGTTATTAGGACACTGGGCTGTATCTTGCTTATTTTTCCTTCTCCTAATCAAGAATCTATTAGGTATATTAAATAGAAAAAGCATGAAGTTATCTGATCCTTCCCTTTGTCTTTAACCAGGGCCACACCTAAACAAATCCAGATGAATAAGTGTCCTTTGTATCTTTAAAGATCATTAGAGAGTATTTCACAATTTCCTGGGTAACTCATTCCATTGTTCTCACTATAGAGAAACTATCTAATCCAAGGTATTCATGTTGCATCCAAGGCCCACTTTCTGTCATCCTCCTACAGAAGGAAAAAGCAGCTGGTGATCAGCCTCTGTACATCCAAGTTTCAGGAGACTACATAACTATTAGGCTTTCACTTGCCTTTCTTCTCTTCTGTCTAAATAACCACAGTGACTTTTAAAAAGTCGAATAAGACCATCTAATCATTGTAGTTGCTCTTTTCTTAGCCTTTCCAATGTTCTTTCCTTTAAGTCATTAAACTGTAGAATGACTGAAAATTTGGGAAAGGTAGCAATGTTTTAGAGGTAATTTTATCTTTGTAAAATTTCCAAGTAAGGATAGTATAAAGTTATTGATTGTTAAAGTAATCTATCTAAATAGAAAGGGTTGGATTACAAAAGAAAATTGGAGTTAACATGACTGCATGCCCAAATGCAGGAGTAGTGACCTAGTAAATGTGGGAAATTGCTGGAGTTGGTCAAATAAAATGTTACGCACAGCAAAACCATGTTTGCTGAAGAACTGACACATCCATCAAATCAGTTACGTTCAAAGCAAAGACATGTTTGGCTAATGAACAAAAGACACTTCAGTCAAATAAGTAACAGTTTAAAGGATACAGAGGAAGTTAAGGAATGAAGAAAAGTAGGAGATACCTAAAGCATGTATTAAGTGCTGAAGATGGTGGCATAAAAAAGGAATGCAGGGAACGGATTTTGGAAGACTCCACATCCAAATGACTTTGTATAACAACCGCACTCTTCTGCTTCAAGTTAGCCTGGGGGAGGTTGGCTAGCCCAGGTTCTTAATTACCTTATATGGCAACTAGCTATAAGAATGATTGTGCAGATTTTGGAGCAGGAGGTTCTAACAGTCAAAAAAATCTTTAAATTGCAATGTGATTTATCTGAACTCCCAAGAGTGAGTGAGTTCACTCTGAGTGAGTGAGTTTGACTGGTGTTGAGAATGGGAATTTCCTATGAGTTTTATTTGTGCCCTCAATTCTGAGCTTATTTTTAAAATGATAGCATAATGTTGCTGACTCATGTTCAGTTTTGAGTATCTATCAAAACAAGTCAACAGTGTTTTATCCTAAGATAATGCCAAAAAGCTAATTCTCCCTCATAATGATATTTCTGCTTGGACAGTCGTCTGGAAACATTTGAAGGAACATAATCACCAAATCTAGTCTCAATCTAAAACGCAAGTCCCTCAAATCAATAAATTAGACTTCCATTGTAGGAAACTAGAAAAACAAGAGCCAACCAAACCCAAAACAAGCAGAAAGAAGAAATTAATAAAGATTAGAGCAGGAGTTAATAAAATAGAGAATAGACAAAAAGAGAAAATCAGTGAAACCAAAAGTTGGCTCTTTGAAAAGATGAACAAAATTGTCAAACCTTTCGCTGGACTTATAAAGAACAAAAGAGAGAAGGCTCAAATTACTAAAATCAGAACTGAGGGGCCGGCCCAGTGGCGCAGTAGTTAAGTTCACATGTTCCAGTTCGGCGGCCTGGGGTTCGCTGATTCACATCCCGGGTGTGGACATGGCACTGCTTGGCAAGCCATGCTGTGGTAGGCGTCCCACATATAAAGTAGAGGGAGATGGGCACGGATGTTAGCTCAGGGCCAGTCTTCCTCAGCAAAAAGAGGAGGATTGGGAGCAGATGTTAGCTCAGGGCTAATCTTCCTCAAAAAAAAGAAATGAAAGAGGGGTTATTACCACCAATCTTACAAAAATAAAAAGGATTATAAGGGAATACTATGAACAATTGTATGCCAACAAATTAGATAACTTAGATGAAAAGGGTGGATTTCTAGAAAGACTCAAACTACAGAAACTGAATCAAGAAATAGAAAATCTGAATAGACCTATAAAAAGTAAAGAGATTGAATTAGTAATCAAAAACTTCCCACAAAGAAAAGCTCAGGACTAGATGGTTTTACACGTGAATTCTACCAAATGTTTAAAGAAGAATCCTTCAACAGTCCTTCATGAACTAGACCAAAAAATAGAAGAGGAGGAAACACTTCCCAAATCATTCTGTTAAGCCAGTATTACCCTCATATCAAAACCAAACAAAGACATCACAAGAAAAGAAAACTATACACAAATATCCCTTGTGAATACAGGCATACCCTGTTTTATTGCATTTCACTTTATTGTGCTTTGCAGATACTGCATTTTTTGAAAAGACCCTCCACCAGAAAAAGATTATGACTCACTGAAGGCTCAGATGATGGGTAGCATTTTTTAGCAATATTTTTTTAACTAAGGTATCACATTGTTCTGTTAGACATAATGCCACTGCACACTTAATAGACTACGGTATAGTGTAAACATAACTTTTGTTTTTCTTTTAATTTGTGTTTCTTTTTTGGTGAGGAAGATTGGCCCTGAGCTAATAGCTGTTACCAATCTTCCTCTTTTTTTTCCTTCCCCAAAGCCCCAGGACATAGGTGCATATCCTAGTTGTAAGTCCTTCTATGTGGGATGCTGCCACAGCATGGCTTGATGAGTGGTACATAGGTCCACGCCCAGGATCCGAACCAGCGAACCCTGAGCTGCCAAAGCAGAGCGCATGAACTTAACCACTCAGCCACGGGGCCAGCCCTTAACATAACTTTTATATGCACTGGAAAACAAAAATATTCAAGTGACTCGCTTTATTGTGATATTCACTTTATTATGGTGGTCTGGAACCCAAACCCTCAATATCTCCAAGGTATACCTGTATTGATGCAAAACTCAACCAGATGTAAGCAAACCAAATCTAGCAATATACAAAGATTATACACCGTGAAAAATTGGAATTTATCACAGGAATGAAAGGTTGGTTCAACATACAAAAACAGTATACCATATTAATAAATAAAATGGAATGTAATATATCATATTAATAAATAAAACAGAAGCCAGATGATCATCTCAATAGGTGAAGAAAAACCATTTGACAAACTCCAACATCTTTAATGATAAAAACACTCAAACTAGGAACAGGAGAGAACTTCCTTCACCTGATAAAAGGTGTACAGAGTTCATTGACCTCCCAGCCTTCCAAGGACACTGGGCCTGGGCCCTACGTGAAGGAATGTGTCTGGGCTCGGGGCCAAAGATGGCCACTTCAGCCCTGACTCTAAGGAACAAGTTACAAAGAATATCTCCTGCGTCATGTTCCTTGTCTGGGCTGGCCACCCCGACGGACACCTGACTGCAGTTTAAAAACATCCCATCTGTGGGAACAAAAAGGTAGAAACAACTCATCCGTGGGAACAAGAAGAAATAACTCAAAGTATCCAAATGTCTAAAACCCTAAGTCAGAACCCAGAGAAACCTTAGGATAAAAGGGAGTCACAGACATAGAACAATTGGGAGTCTCACTGAGGAAAATGCCTCAGACCTGGACAATCGGCACTCCCACCCGACGTACAAACTATTGGGACTTCCTCAGCTGATTGTGGTGTGGATGTTGTAAGTACCGATTTGTTGTTCCCCTTTATCCCTGCTCCTCATTATGTTTCCCTTTATCAATAACCTTTGATTGCTTAAACAACCAAGTAGCCTTGGTGGTCAACCTGTCATTCCTTGCCCTCTGAGGCTGCGGGCAACTAAAGGCATCTGTGAAAAACCCACAACTAACATCATACCTAATGGTGAAAGACTGAAAGCTTTCCCCGTAGGGTCAGGAACAAGACAAGGATATCTGTTCTCGCCACTTCTACTCAATATTATACTGAAGGTTCTAGCCAGGGCAGGGAAAAAGAAATAAAAAGCACTCAGAGTGCAAAGGAAGAAGTAAAACTACCTCTACTCACTGATGGCATATCTTGTATACAGAAAAATCCTAAGCAATATACACACAGACGCAGACACACACACACTCACAAACTAGAACTAATAAGTTCACAAGGTTGCAGGATACAAAGATCAATATGCAAAAATTAATTGTATTTCTGTACATTAGCAACGAACAATCAAAAATGAAATTAAGAAAACAACTCCATTTATAATAGCATCAAAAATAATAAAATTCTTAGGAATAAATGTAACAAAAGAAGTATAAGACTTACATATGGTAAACTATAAAATATTTTTGAAATAAATTAAAGACCTAAATAAATGGAAAGACAGCCCATGTTCAGGGATTGGAAGATTTAATATTGTTAATATGACAATACTCCCTAAACGGATCTACAGATTCTACAGAGTCTCTATCAAAAGTCCAGGTGCCTTCTTTGCAGCAGTTAACATTGATCCTAAACTTCACATGGAAACATATAGGACCCAGGATAGCTGAAAATAATCTTGGAAAGGAAGAACAAAGCTGAAGGACTCACACATCCCAATTTCAAAATTTACTACAAAGCTACAGTAATCAATACAGTTTGGTACTGGCCTGCGGACAGACATACAGATCAACTGGAGTCCATAAATAAACCCTTACATTTATGGCCAATTGATTTTTGACAAGGGTGTCATGACAATTCAACGGGAAAAATAGTCTTTTTAACAAATAGTGCCGGAACAACTGGATATCCACACGCAAACGAACAAAGTTGGACCTCCTACCTCACATCACATAAAGATTTAACTCAAACTGGATCAAAGACCTAAAGCTAAGAGCTTAAACTATAAAAATCTTAGAAGAAACTTTTAGCAGAAAACATAGGTGTGAACCTTCATGACCTTGGATTAGGCAAAGGGTTCTTAGATATAACACTAAAAGCACAAGCAACAAAAGAAAAAACAGATAAATTAGACTTCATCAATATTAAAAAACTTCTGTGCTTCAAAATTTTCATCAAGAAAGTGAAAAGAAAACCTGCAGAATAGGAGAAATATTTGAAAATCATATAAGTGATAAGGGACTAGTATCCAGAATGTATAAAAATTATTACAATTTAACAATAAGACAACTCAATTAAAAAATGGGCAAAGGATTTGAATAGACATTTCTCCAAAGAAGATATACAATATCTTCTTTCATGTGCCAATGAGCACATGAAAAGATGTTCAACATAATTAGTCATTAGGAGAAGGCAAACAAAACCACATTGCGGATATATACATACACTGGACTATTATTCAGCCTTAAAAAGGAAGGAAATTTGGACACATGCTACAACATGGATGGTCTTTAAGGATATTATGCTAGTGAAATAAGCCAGTCACAAAAGGACAAACACTGTAGGCTTCCACTTATATGAGGCACCTAGAGTAGACAAATTCATAGAGACAGAAAGTAGAACGGTGGCTGCCAGGGGCCGGGGGGGAGGGGGGAATTAGGAGTTATTGTTTAACGGGTACAGAGCTTCAGTTTTGCAAGATGAAGAGTTCTGTGAATGGATGGTGGTGATGGTAGCACAACAGTGTGAAGGTACTGAAGGTCAATGAACTACATACTTAAAAATGGTTAAAATGGCAAATTTCACATTATGTATATTTTACCACAAGTTTTTAAAAAAGTAGGTTATATAGCTTCCAAATATTTGGGGATTTTCCAGTTATCTTCCTGTTATTGATTTGTAGTTTACTCCCATTATGGTTGGTGAACATGCTTTGTATGACTTAAATACTTTTAAATTCATTGATACCTCAAAACAAAACAAAACAACAAAAAAACACTTCACACCCACTAGGATGGCTATAATAAAAAAGACAAGGGGCCTGCCGGGTGACGTAGTGGTTAAATTCACACACTCAGCTTCGGCGGCCCAGGGTTTGCAGGTTCAGATCCCAGGCAGCCCTAGCACTGCTCATCACGCATGCTGTGGCGGCAGCCCACATAAAACAGAGGAGGACTGGCACAGATGTTAGCTCAGGGCCAACCTTCCTCACACACAAAAAAGACAGACGATAACAATTGTTAGCAAGGATGTGGAGAAGTTGGAATTCTCACATATTGCTTACGAGAATGTAAAATGTACAGCTGCTTTGGAAAATAGTTTGGCACTTCCTCAAAAAGTTATACATGGGAGTTACCACGTGACCCAACAATCTACTCCTAGGTATATATACAAGAGGGAATTGAAAAAAAGGCTTACACGAAAACAAGTACATAAATGTTCACAGCATCATTTTTCATAATTGCCAAAAGGTAGAAACAACCTAAATGTCCATCAATTGACGAATAGGTATATAAAATGTGATATATCCATACAATGGAATATCATTCAGCCATAAAAAGGAATGAAGTACTGACATATGCTACAATGTGAATACACTTTGAAAACATGTTAAGCGAGAGAAGCCAAACACAAAAGGCCACATATTATATGAGTCTATTTACATTAAATGTCCAGAACCGGCAAACCCATAGAGACAGAAGTGAAGTTAGTGGTTGCCAGGGGCTAGTGGGATAAGGGGTGAGTGCTAATGGGTATGAAGTTTCTTTCTGGGGTGATGAAATATTCTGGAATTAGTGCACAACATGGTAAATATATTAAAAGCCACTGAATTATACACTTTAAAAGGGTGAATTTTGTGGGATGTGAATTATATTCCAACTTAAAAAAAGTCTCTTTGAGTATTCCCATCACTCATTCTAGGAGTGATGGAATTTAACTAAGAGGTTAGATGATATCAATATGCATAGACTGTAGCAAAATAAAACAATTGTTAAAATGAACATACATATTTAAATGATTGTAAGTAGTCAAGAGTAAGGTACAAGTCTAATTAAGTGGGGAAAAGATGGCATTTTCCTTGTCAATATTTGTTTTTCTGCATTCTTTTATTCTCTCTTTAAATTAGGGGTGAGCCTTCAGTAAAGAAAGATGGGCTAGACTACCATCTGGTCCTTTTCCCTCAACAACTTTAATTAATCTTCAAAGTTGTCACCTCCATTTACTAAATCACGGTAACTTACCCTGCATAACTGGTAGCAAAGCAACTGCAACACAGCTCTTGCCATGACTTTCAGTAATTCCTTTTTTCAACACGCACTTCATATATGAGTATGAAACAGGAGGAAATGATTTGCAAGTAATTGGAAAAAGAGGTAGTGACATTTAACATGCATATTTCAAAGATTCAGATTTGGATTTAAATACCACAGTCCCAGGAATGTGACACTTGGAAAGCTCTGCAGTCTCAATTCATTATCTTTGAGGTTCAGATACATTGGGAAGGCAATACCCTGATATCCCCCTATTGAAGACAGAAGAGAAATTGAGATTTCAGTTGTGTGTGCATGAGGCTGTCAATAGTTTGTTCACCCCCTCAACTACTCCCTATGACTCTAATGGGAATACCAGACTCCACGTTCAGTGTTACCATTACTTATCGTGGAATGAAGTATCTTCATTAGAAAAGCTTCACCTGGAAAAGGTAAATTGTTCTTTTAAAGCCAAACTGAGTAAAAAGGAATTAAGTAGAGGAATGGGGGAAGGAATGGGGGAAAGAGGTCTGAAGAAAAGGCAGCAGCCACAGAGGAAGCAATCACACAAATTACACAAATGTCATGAGTTCATCTAAATGCCATCTCCTCCATCAAGGTCAGCCCTCTATTCCCCTTCGGAAGAGAGAAGCTCGTTAATACGTGTCTAGGTACCCGGGTACCATTGTTAGAAAAGATCAGTAACAACAGCCGACGAATCTTCCATTTACATTTTTTGACCCACTGCAAAGCATTTTCATACCCACTGCTCCACAAAGCACCTCTTTGCCATGCAGCTACCAAACAGCCAGCTTCTGCCGGGGCACATTTGTCAGGAACATGTCTCTTATTCCCACGCTCAGAACCTAGGTTTGTCCCCAAAGCCTGCAGGCCACATACCTGAGTGTACTTGCGGAAAAACACCCCTTGCACCTTCCCAAAAATTTCATAGTCCACTGATATCAGGGTGCCCCCTTCTGCCATGCTCACGTTCAAACCTGTCAGGGACGAGGAAAGCAGAAAAGTAAAGGGCTCCTGATCCTATTCCAAGACCCCCAACCCTGAGGCAGAAAGCGCCACACCCACACTTCTCCATCCTTAACCTCTGCGACCTCTCCCTGACCTTAAGGTGCCCGATCTTCACAGTACTCAAGCGGATACGTGTAAGCGCGGTGTGTGAAGTAACAGAGGACACCCGAGCAAGGAGGCTTCGGGCCTCTTTGGGGGAATTACCTGCTTATCCAGTCACCTCCCTATACCCATCGCCGCTTCTGCTCCCTCTCCATCCCTAGCCCCTCTCCATCCGTACCTCTTCCCAGGGACCTGGCTTCCCTGCGGCCGCCAGAATCCCCTTCTCCTAACATTTCAGGGCTAACCGAACTGATGAGGACGCCCTAGGGCCGCGTCCCAGGCTCACCCTCCTCGTCCTCCTCTTAGGCGATCGGCGCTCCCCTGGCGACCACCACGCCAAACGGTTCCTTCGGTCGCGTAACCGCCGCGCCCGGAAGTTTAGGGCGCAGCTCCTCCTTCGCTGCCTCTCATGCCCATCACCTCCTCAGACCAATCAGAGACGGCGCTCTGGGCCCAGAGCCCGCCCAGAGGGTGGGATTTCGGGACGCGGTCGTGTGCGAGCGCGAGCGAGCCTCGAGTTGGGGATCTGTCCACAGTCTCGACTCGGCTTCTACAGACCGAGCCCTCACCCCACCTCGGTCACTAAGCTAAACCCCTTTCTCGTTTACTCGTGGGGAGAAAGATATGGACGAAGAAGCACTTGAGATAAATTCAGTCATTCAATAAATATTTACTGAGACCCTCGTGTGCCAGGCACAGTTCTAGGTGGTCGACATACATTCGTGAACAAGAAGGATCCCTGGCCTGGAGGAGCCTACATTCTGGAGACGGGAGACAGACGATAAACATTAAACATCTCAAACAAGAAAACTGGACAGGACACCTACAACCTTTCGGCAGTGACTTTTTCTTTTAGTTCTCCAAATTTTGGGTGATGCCCAAGTCTGGAATGGGTAGCAAGGGAGATGTGTGTACAGGAGGTCCCAGTGGAGGTTACCGTTCCTTCAGTGCTTCTGGAAGCTGCCCACCAGAGTCCACCTTACTAAGAAAACCCCAAATAATGCTTATCTCAATCAATCACGTGCACAAGTAAAATAACCCAAGGCTTCAGAATCACAAATGAATCAGTCAATCTAAGCCATATGACCAAACTGCACAAATTCTTTCGGGAAAATGGAATTGTCAAGGGAAGTTGTGGGTGTGGATTTTTAAAAGTAGGGTTGCCTTGCAGGCATTGAATCCAGCTACCCTTACGATTAAGGATGTGTATGAAGGAAAACTGCGGTGTGTACTGCTCCTCTTTGGAGGGCTTGTATACGTTACATCCCCTCATTAGACTCCAGATGTGAATATGCTAGGTTGGCAGACTTGACAAGGTGCGATGGATTTGCAATGGAAGCCACGGAGATGCATCATTCCACTAATTTCCCACTACTAAGTGAGGCTATAGATCCTGGAGAATCATATAACCTTAGTGCTGGTGTCAGGTGGCGGGCCCGGCGGGGTGGGAAGCTAGATTGAATATCATGCTTGGCAATATTTGAAAATAAAGCTAAACAGAGTACCCAGCTGACGTTATTTTTTTTCTCTAAAATTCATTTTTTAAAAACTAGTTTCTTGGAAGTCTAACATTGTATAAATTCATTCATAAGTGGAAGATAAATAAAAACATAGATACAGAGATTAGATTAGTGGTTATCAGAAGGGAATCGGGGAGAGCAAAAGGGGTAATAGGGCGCATGTGTATGGTGATGGATGGTAATTAGTCTTTGGGTGCTGAACGTGATGCAGTCTACACAGAAATCGAAATATAATGAGGTACACCTGACATTTGTATAATGTTATAAACCAACGTTACCTCAATAAATAAAATTTTTAAAAAACCCCCAAAACAAAAAACTACTTTTTCAGGCTGGCCCCGTGGCTGAGTGGTTAAGTTTGCGCACTCTGCTTCAGCGGCCCAGGGTTTCACTGGTTCAGATCCTGGGCGCAGACATGGCACCGCTCATGAAGCCATGTTGAGGTGGCGTCCCACATGCCACAACTAGAAGGACCTACAACCAAAAATATACAACTATGTACCAGGGGGCTTTGGGGAGAAAAAGAAAAAATAAAATCTTTGAAAAAACTAGTTTTTCCATAGAATTAAAAACCTATTGAGTGTCTATTATGTATGGGACACTGTAGGATTACAAAGATGAAAGATATATAACTTTTGTCCTCAAAGAGTTTTTTATTTAGTGTAAGGGAAAAATATGCATGGAAATAATGGCAATACTATGCACAACATGCTAACTTAATTCCATGAACACCCATTGAGAGCTCATCATGAACCAGCACCGTGCTATAACAAGGACAGGAAATATTATGAGAGCACAAAGGAACAAAGAGATTCATGCTGACTGGGAAGACTGGAAAAGCATTCTTGGAGGAAACAGCATATTATCCAAGGTTACACAACCACAACCAGTAAGTGACGGAGCTGGGATTTACTTCTAAGCAGTCTAAATACAGAGCCCACTCCGGTAAATGCTATGCTCTACCACCAGTACGTGGAGCTTGCGGTGAAGCAGTGCCACTGAGGTAAGAAAGTGGAAGTAGTCAGGTATGGCTAGCCCAGGGGTTCTCAACCCTGGCCACACACTAGGACCTCGGGGGAAGCTTTTAAAAATACTGATACCCAGCTCTCACCCCTATAAATTGCTTTCCATGTAATCCTAAAGCACAGCCACGGTTGACATCCACCAGGCTAGCTGCTGGGGAGGCAGGGCTGGAAAGGTAGGCAAGAACTAATCTGGCAGGTTGAAATACCATGTTAAATTATATGTTTCAACTCTATTCTGTAGGTAAAGAAGAGGCCACTGGGTAGGAGAATGACAGGTTCAGAAGTATTTAGGATAATTCTTCTGGCAGAAGCATGAAGGATGGGCTTGGGAAGCAGATGTTGAAGGCAAGAACAGTGGTTAGGATGGTGATGCCAACCCAATGAGAAGTGAGGAAGAACTCTCCTAGGGCAGCAGAAACGTAAAGGAAGGGTCATGTATGAGAGACACTGCGGAGTAAATTCAACAGAGCCTGCTGACTGATTAGAGGGAAGGAGTGACAAAGAGGGAGCAGTGGAGATGACTGATGCTTTCAGCATGGGAGGGAACACTGGAGAAGAAGTGGATTGGGGAAATCGAGAGATAATCATGAGTTTCTTTTCTTTCATACTGAGTTTGAGTTCCCTGAGGAACATTCATGCGGAGGTGCTAAATGGGCAGTTGGAAATTTGAGCCTGTAACTAAGGAGAGAGCCAAGCTGGATATCATTTATACATAGATGAGACCTGAAATTTCATCATTTGGTTGAATCATCGAGAAACAGAATGCCTGAAACTGCAGATACAAGAGAAATAAGAGGGCTATGGAGAACCTAACTTTGCAGGGGGGCAGGTGAGGAAAAGACTTTATAAATGCCAGAGACCTGGAAGAAGATGGAGCAAGGACATGAAAACAGAAACCAAGAAATCACAGAAGCAAGTGAGAAGAGTTCCAAGAGAGTGAAAAATCAATAATGGCAAATGAGGCTGAAGAAATAGCAGCTTTGTCTTTGGTCACTGGAAGGTCATTGGTAGCCCTGCAGTTAAATAAAGTGGAAAGGATGGAAGCCAGACCACAATGGACTGGACAATGAGGGGGAGATGAGGAGGTGGGGACAGCAAATGTAAAGTTTTCTATTAAGAAGTCTTGTGGTGAAGAGGAGAAATGAATAGGACCCCAACATGAGAGGCAGCAGGTCGAGGAAAACAAGGTTTATTTTGCAGAGGAAATTTAAGCACATTTTAAAACCAAAGAGAATGAGTATGTAGATAGATACAACTTGAAGCTAACAAGATGGAGTGCTAAAGTGACGGAGTCAATTCCTGGAGCGTAATGAAAGGAACTAATTCAAGAGAACTCATGGAAAAAGAAAGACTCTTCTTCCTCAGAAACAAAAAGGAAGGAAGTCAAGATGGAGGGAGACACTCTGGGAAATTCTGCCAGACTGGAGGGGAGCTGAGGGAGCTGATGACAAGGAGGCCCGGTGCTGAGGTAATTGGGACTTTGAGAAGAGTGGGAAATGTCTGGAAATGCATTTACAGAGAAGGCAGCTTAAAGAGTCAACTAGGAAGGAAAACAAGGAATAAAAGGACTGCCCTAGAGGGCCCACCAAGGAATTCCTTTGTAACATGTAAAAGATGTAATATGACATGTTAAAGTATTAACACTGACTACTGCTGTCTATAATTATTTTCCATGTGCATGAATCTTTTGAGTAGTTAGAGGAAAAAAGTAAGCTGTCTGTTCCTAATAGCTTACACAAATGAACTGAAGCATGAAGACAAATAAACTTTCTTCTGATGTTGACAAGTTAGACAGTATCATTTAGTGTTGAAACCAGGTTACACTGATTATTTTCGATCTGGTACTTAACTTTATTATCATTTCATTTGGCTGAGTCATTCTTGGGCCCTAAGAGAGGACGGCCAGAGTTACCACGTGAGAATCAAACATCATATCAAAATAATTTGACTACAAAAACTACCCCGGAAAAATACTGCGTAGCAAAACCTAGCCGAGTTAATAAAATTTGACAGCAAGCTCCAAACTACTGGCGAGGAAACGAACGGAGAGACAGTATATAGCCATACCTGGGGCTCGTACAAAGCAGCCGAGCGTGCTAAGAAAGGCTACCAGCAGGCGCACTCCCGCTAAGCGGGCGGACACCGGAATCCTGCGGCGGAATGACTCGAGGGCACAGGTAGGGGCTCCGGCGTTTGCCAGAGAAAGGTCTGGCAGCATCATTCACAGAAAAATACAAGTTCTTTGATGGAGTCTTAGAAAAGCCTCTCCCTCCCCCTCCCCCGTTCCCAAGGGCGGGCGACACAGCTGCAGAATTGGCGGGATACTAGGTTAAGTGACACTCAGGCTGGCCGCACCGCCTCCCCGGGCAGGTCCCGACCGCGTGAGGACTGCGCCTGCGCGCGCCTCCCCCGGGCGGGGGGTGTTCGCTGCCAGAGGCGGGGCTGGGCGCGCACGCGCTCCTGTCTCCAAGCAACGGGAATAACGGAGGCCGGCTGAGAGCGCCTGCGCGGCCATCGGTTAGTGGGTGTCGGGTCGGGAAAACTAGGTCCTATGGTTTTCCCCAGGCAAGAGCGGTCCCCGAGAGCCTCAGGTACGCGGAAGGGCGGGGAGACATGGGGTCAGCACCTCGACCTCCAAAGGGCCCGATGGTCAGAAGAGCGCTTTGTTCCCAAAGCGGACTCCCCATTGGGTGCGCCACTGCTGACCCTCCAGGACAGAACGTGACTTCCGCATTCCGGATCTAAACCCCACGGCGGCCAGGTCAAGTGGCCCCCGCCTCTCAGGTTACAGACCTTTCGCTGTCTGCGCCGCGGGGACTCCTTGGGTGAGGATTTGTGAGCCAGGCACCTGCTGCAGCAGGCCCTAAGCGGCCTCTGTGCTCTTTGGCGTCAAGCACGGTTCCAGCAGGAGGGAAGCCCTGAGAGCTCCTTGTGCCCGTCACTTACCCCCGGGCCGCAGTTTTCTCACCTATAAATGATGCGGCTGGACTCGCAGTTCTAAGGTCCCTAAATACCAGTCGTGTAACTCTAACTGAGCGAACCTCTCAGTTTACGGGTGAAGAAACTGGAGCCAGTAAGAGGAAGTTGCTTGTCCTTTGTCACAGGCCTAAAACCTAACTTTCAATCCAGTGGTTCTTTCCACTTACTATGGAATGTACTGTGTTTGGTAGGAGCATCACTGTATATGGCAGAGGCTAGTACTGGTATAAAGGAAAGCTAGGCAGCAGGAATACCTGTATCAGAATCGTTTTTCCATCCCCAGGACCTAATAAGCACTCACAGGATAATAAGCACTCACCAAATGCTTATTGAACGAAAGCTTTGGCAGACCCAGCTCCACTGTCCCTAAAGTTTAAGGCAAAATGTGGGTAGGACAAACGTAGAAACAGTTTACTTTAGCAGCCGAGGTGAATCTCAGACAAACTCCTCATATATCTGGTTTAAATCCCTCCCAGACTTCAGTCCAGGCCCTGAATGGCTGGTCTCCAGTTGGCGCCACCTCTGCCTGTGGGCGTTATGCTCCCATATAATAAAACGGAAACTCCAAGGCTCCACCCAGCCGAGCAAGACCCCTATGAAAAAGGTGACTCTCCCCAGCGGTCCTCAATGGGGCACCTGAGGAACAATTTCCAGCAGAAGCTTTGGAGCAACAAAGAGCTGACACTGGATAATCTCTCCACTCACCCCAAGTGGAGCACCTGCACAAAAGTCCGGAGCCACTCCCATCCCCACCGTGCTGGAGTCAGCCAGCAAGATCCAGGAAGCAAGCCCCAGGGCCAAGCAAAGTGTTTGTTTTACTCATCAGGCCCTCAATCCCGGTATTCCGAAGCAAACAACCAGGACTTCATCCCGTTTACAAAGAAGCGAGTTGGAGTAGATCGGGCATACCCACTGAAACCTGTGTTCCATCGGAAGTCTCGTAGTATAGGTGAGGCTGGCACTGATGGGGACCAGGATGTCTCTCCAAGACCCCCTGAGCCAGGAGAGTTTTCATACAGCAGCTTTGGTTCAAGAAACTGGGTGAATTCCTCTGTGGCTGGCACTGTTGCTGCCACGCAGGGGGAGAGGGCGATGGCAAACCTCAACACGACTGCGTGGATGCGGATCCAAAGACTAGAGGCTGCAGGAGAGAACTTACAGGAGGAAATCCGAAGAAAAGAGACCCTCCTGAGGGAAAAGCTGAAGAAGACAGAGGAGGAACTCAGAAGGATCCGGAAGGAAAAGCAACAGGCAGAGGAAAATGAAAGAAGAGAGCTCCAGGGAGAGACACTCCCCAGGAGGAGAGTTAAAGGTAGTAGCAACACCGCATACAAACGTCTCTTCTCCCCAGAGTTCGGGTCTGAGGAGGTCTTCAGTAGAGACAGGGGAGAGGACGAAACTTGGGTATGGTCTCAAGAAAATTCTAGGCCATTCCAGTTCTCTGATTATGGAATACAGAAGCTCAAAAGGGAAAGACTGGTGGCAAGCAATAACAAAATCCGAGAGCAAGTCTCAGGGCCGTTGAGGGAGAAGTTTTCTCAGCCTTCAGAAGTGCCAGGCAGTGCTTTGCAGGGACCCACCAGCAATTCTAGCTTGTCTGGGGCACCAGACTCCTCAGGTTCCAGCTGTCCCACTGAAAAGCCAGAACTCGGCGAGTGCAGCCACTGTGGACGCAAGTTTCTCTTGCTCAGGCTGGAGAGACACTCCAACATCTGCAGCAGGATGCAGGGTTCCAAGAGGAAAGTGTTTGACTCCTCCAGGGCCAGGGCTAAAGGCACTGAACTAGAGCAGTACTTGAACTGGAAGGGATCAGCCTCAATCAAGGTAACAAAGGCCTTAGGGATTTGACTGTGTGTGTAAGGGCCTGTTATATCTGCATCAGTTTTCTTTAGAAAAATTTCATGTGTTTGATAGGGAGAAAGTGAGAATTAACAATTATTGATTACTACTGGGTGCTGGTCACTGTGATGGGAGTTTTTCATATGATCCTGACCACAACCCTATGAGGATTTCATTGTCTCTTATCAATTCAAAAATTAAGTCTCAGAGAGGTTAACTTGCTTGAGCTAACAAATAGCATTAAATGGCAGAGTCAGCATATAAATCTGGGTCGGAATGACTCCAAAATCTAGACTTAAAAAATATATGTCCTTTTGATTATAAAAGTAATAAACGCTTACTGTAAAAAATTTAAAAGACATGAAAATTATAAAGAAAAAACTATGCATTTCAGCACTCTGAGAGACTTCCTTGCTCTTTGCAATATACTCTGCCACCTCCCCAGACTAAGATCTGTTGCCACTCCTATAACTGTGTCTACTTCTCCAAGATTAGCTCAATTTTGATAGATCTTCTTAGTAAATATGTGAAACACAACTAAGTTTGGAATTCTTTTTCTCCCCATTTAGAATGTAAACACCTAAAAGGTAAAGGACTTTATTTTTGGTTATCTTTCAAAACATCCCTAGCTGCAGAAAAAGTAGGTTGTATAAAGTAAGGATATCAAGACACTTACGTGGTAAGTTTAGGGGAACTTTGTAGGCATGTCTGGACAGTCAGATCTGGAGAAGATTGTCTTGTAAGTCAGTCCACAACCCTGTCAAGGTTATGCCACTTTGTTGTAAAAGGAGTGTTTCTCATAACAAAACCCAAGAGTGGCATACTGACAAACACTTTTCATTTAACTAGTTTTACTGTGTATTAGAAAACTATAACAACATATCAAGCCCTTCATTTCTAGGAATCACGAATTTAAAGAAAATGTTAAGTACTTAATAGTAAGGGGATAAAGTGAAAGTGGTATGCAAATAATCAAACTTTGGGAAATCCTAGACCGGAGGATCTCAAAGGCCCCATCCAGCTGTAATATTCTAGCAAAATGTGAGAGCCTCATTCTGTTTTCATTTCTTTCCAACCCTCCCTCTGCTGCACTAGCACCTCTGATCCTTCAGCACTTTACAGTTTGGTTGTTTTTAATGGGGCCTTTAAAAACTCACATTTATGTGATGGCTGTTAAGAAAAGCAGTTTGCAGATAGAGTGACTTCTTTCAGTACGATTTGGGAGGTCATCACGAGAAAGTCCCTTCCATGTTCAGAGGTAATCTCTCTGACATCCAGTTCCCAATAAGAAGTCAACATTTTGCTCTTACAGATAAGGACATGATCATCAGTTCCTGTTCTTGCCTGTTTTCTTTCTGGTCAACCGAAAAATCCACTGGGGTATTCTCTCTCCCACTATCATGGTTTATTTCTAGCCAGAATATATAGAATCTTTTGTTTCTTAAATTCCCAAATACAGTAGCAGTGAAGCAGAAGAATTGGGTTTCTGAGAGCAGACACCCTAGCTTTGTGGAAACTAGTTTAAGTGGGGAATATGTTGCATTGAGGACACCAAGGCAGAAAGGACCTGGATTGAGATGCCCTTCCCACCTTGGAATGTCCCGAGTCTTATTCCAAAGCTCTGTGCCTTTGGAAGCTGCGTGGTTTGTGCCTCTCTGTCGTTCCCCTCATGTACTCACAAAAGCATGTGATTTTCCTTGTATCCTTTAATCTTCACATAACTTCCAGCAGACTTGTACCTCTTGTCTCTCTACTAGACCTTAAACATTTGAGCACAGGGACCACATCTCTGTGCTTTGTGATGTGTTTAATGAATAAAATTTCAATACGATGAAAATTAAAGTATAAGTATCATGTGGTTGAGGAACTTCCCTCTAATTCAGTCCTTTTAAAGGTTCCTGGATACCATCTCTAACACTCTTAATTCTCTTGCCTTCTTGTCTGTTTCAGAGACTCTCCTGATGCTTCCTTTTCCTTTGATAGCATCTCTTCCTATTATGCATCATTAATGATGTCAGATCACCGAGCAGCTACTTGTCTTCCTTTTTTCTTCTTTTTAAAATTAATTTTCTTTTAATCTAAATTATATTTGAATACATTTTAAAAATCATGTAGTACTAAGTGATCTATAATGCAGATCAGCAGTATCCTGCCTCGCCCCTCTTCAACCCCTAATCCAGCCCCCAGTTCTATAGATGACTATTCTGGTATGTATTTCCATATTTCTACCTAATATGCTTGTTTTCTTGCTTTATTCGTTTTGTACATTATCTGTTGACTTCCTCGTATGGACGCTGTGGGTTAGCTCTTTCACATCCCCTCTCCTAGTGCTTGTCTCCTTCCCTTATCCTTCCTTGTAGTAGAATCACAATTGTGGGTTAAATCAGTAGTTAGCTTTTTCATTATAATGACCATGTAAATTTTGTTCATTGACGAGGGAACAAATTCTGCCCCTGCCCACATGCACCTGGAGTTAATAACTGACTCATGTTTTCGTGCGTTTAGTCCTCCATACCTAATTGTTTTTTTCCTCCTAAATGATCCGTTCAATGTCAGACACCTGTTAATGTCTTTGTAAGTGCTCAGATGCCTCTCATTTCTATCAGTTTGATTTTTTGTTCTGGAAACCTCCCTCGCACCACTCTCTTTCCTCCTGCTCCAGTCTGGACGGGTTATTCTCTGGGGCTGATGCAGATCTGTTGTCTTGGGACCTCTCTCTGCTTCTCTTCTGTGTTGGGTCTCCTGTTTCCACCATCCTGTCTTCTTTTTTCTTACTTTACTTACTTTGGTGAAGAAAGGTGCATGGGAGGCATATTTTTTGTCTTGGAATGAATGAAAATATCTATATAATACCCTTACATTTGATTGATAGTTTGGCCAGTAGGGAATTCTAGGTGGAAAATTAGTTTCTGTTAGAACTTCTAAGGCATTTTCCCACTAGTTTTTAGCATCCGGTGTTACTGTTGAGAAATCTTATGCCATTGTGATTCCTGCTCCATTATATGAAACCTACTTTGTTTTTTCTTTTTCTGATAGTTTACAGGATTCTCTCTTTATTTTGAAATTCTGAAATTTTACAATGATTTTGTTGGATACTTGGTAGGCCATTTTGATCTCAAGAGTAGTGACCTTTAATTCTAGGAATGTTTACTGTGTTATTTAACAATTTTCTCCCTGTGTTTTCTCTTTCTTTTTGCAACTCGTATTGGTCAGGTGTTGGACTTCTGGATTGACTCTAATTTTCTAATCTTTTCTTTTTTACTTTCCATCTTGATCTTTGTTCCCATTCTGAGTAAGTTTCTTGACATTATTTTACATATCTGTTTTAATTTTTGGCTATCACAGTTTTAATTTATAATAGTTCTTTCTGGTTCTCTGGTTCCTTTTCATAGTATATATATTCTTGTTTTGTGGACACAAGCTTTTCTAATACTCCTTTGTTGATATTATGTTTTTTTGTAAAAAAAAAAAGTTTTCTGCTGCTGCCTGCCTTGTTGCTGCTTCTGTGTGTGTGTGTGTGTGTGTGTGTGTGTGTACACGCATGTGCATGTGTTCGTGTACTTGGTCTCTTTCTTTTTAAAGCTTTACTCAAATATCTGGTGATCTTGGGCTGTCCATTCATATTTAAGCTTCAGTGGGGCTTATTGACTAATGGCCTTCATATTAGGGTTATTAAGTAGTGAGCCTTTTAACAGAGGTCCCTCAGGGTCAGCATCTGATGGTTTTTCTCTCGACTGCTCAGTGCATCCAGAAAACCCTAAAAGGGTGCCAGTGTGCTTAGTACTCTGAGCTGAGTGGGAGAAGGAGGCTGACAGTTCCACAATTCATCATGTATACTTGCACTGTATCCCCATTTTCAGCCCCAAGATTAACCCTCTTCTCCACTGTGCCTGGATTTCCTGAGTCTGAAACCTGTCTGGTTCAGTTTCTCCAGAGGAGAAACTCCTGTTCTCCTGTGAAGGTGTGGAAGTGATGGACACTTGGGTGTACAAGGTGGGAGAGGAGCCCTGGGGTCCAACTTGTTTTCAGCCCTGCACTTCTCCCCTTTCCACTACTTGTACTTCCAAGCACTGAACCTCTTAGGGGTTCTGCTGGGAAAAACAGCTTGTCTCTCAGTACCATCCCCCTCTGCAGGCCCTTAGTTTAAGTGCTTAGTTTAAGAGCTCTGGCAAGTCAGCTATCACTGTTGCTCCTTTCCTGTTCTCTTTGACCTTGTGGATTAACATCCTTTTTATTTCCTTACTGTCATTCTAATGGAGACATAAGGAGATGAGATAAATGCCAAGTTGATTGATTAGTCTTCCTTCTACTTACAGGCTGAACCCCCTCGGAAGAGCAGCTGGAGACAGAGGCATGAATCTTTCATCCGTACCCTCCGTCAGGCTCGAGAGGTCCAGCAGGTAATTGCCAAAGGTGGAAACCCCTCAGACTTGCCTCCCATCCTGCCTGCAGAAAATCCAGACTATATCCAGTGTCCTCATTGTAGCCGCCATTTTGCTCCCAAGGTGGCCGAGCGGCACATTCACAAGTGTAAGACCATCAAGAACCGTCCTCCACCTCCAAGGAAGCATTACAGTTGAGGAAACAACAGTGGAAACCTCCTCCCTAGTTCTGAAGGCTCTGCTTCTCTTCAGCAGTAAATAGGAATAGAATAATTTGATGCAAAGCAGTAAGAACTAAAACTTTTACATCTCCGAGGTCCGCCTGCAGAGCTGAAACCAGTGAGGAGAGACCAATTGCTAAGTAGAAGGAGGCAGAAGGAAGCCCCAGCTTCCCACTAAATTACCACCTCAGGCTGGTGTGCCTTATGTTATTGCCCTAAGAACTGATGAGTGAAGGCACAAGAGTAGCGAGCAGGCTACATTAAAGCTCTCTTCTCCTAAGCCTGACTTGTGGTTTATGCTAGTTAAGTGCCTCCGTTTGCTGTGCCTTCTTGCCACTGCCTCTGCGTGTATGTCTGTGGTTCCTGTTAACTCTTCTTGATCTTGCATGAAGTTGGCTCATTAGGATGAGTTGGTGTCAGAGGATCATGGTCACCCAGGTGGTATCTTATAAAAGGTAATATGATTTTGCTGAAAGGAAAATAGAAGTCTGTCCTTAACTTCCCTGGTGCATAGTCCTGGCCAAAAGCCAACAGAAGTACATAAGGTTAGGGCACCAGAGTATCCTAAACCCTCTCTGTGGTGTACTGTGTAATAAAGGGAACCTCATCTTTATGTACTTTACAGGCTAGGGATGGGGGAAAGAACATTATACGCCTAAATGGTTGTTCTTTTCTAATGGATTTCATATGTCAAAAAAAAAAAAAAAAAGGAAGAAACTTGTTTCAGCTATTGCTAGCACTCTCCTTTCAAATCAGGTTGGTTGGATGGCTTTTTAAGTGAGGCAGCAAAATCTGCCATCAAAGCAAGCTCAGACACTCTGGTGTCACATCTTCCTGTGGATTATACCACAATAAACCAAACTTTGAAGGAAAAGGTGCCAGATCTTTTAAATTTTCTCTGTGCAGAATCATGCCTAATGCAAGTAACCTTTATAATTAGGCCCTCAATAAATGGGTTTTGGGGATTTAAAATTAAATGAATAATAAAATGAGTGAGTCCTAGACTTGTTAAATGGGAGAAGGGATAAGGTAATGCCTGATGGGGGTAATATCAGTTCAGATAGGATGACGCTAGCACAAAAGAGCTGAATACTAGGATTGTTGTCCTGAGAGCATCACTCAAATTGTTAGTTTAAAATAGTGGAGAAAAATCACCCAACCTGACCTGGGCAAATGGGACTGGGCAGACAACAAAACCATATTTTACTAAACAACAAATGGCCACTCACTCTTGTTCCATTTCCTCTGTAGCTTTTGCTGAGTGGCTGGGCTAACAGATCAGACCAATTTGAAATGTGAGTTTAAGGTTTTAGCTGTGAAGCTGCAGGACACTAGGCTGAAAAAAAATTGTATATTTTAAAAACAGCATATATTGAATTGCTTTATGCTCTTCTTAATTGTTGCAAAGAAAAGGAGGTATCACATAATGGGCTTCTGGTTGGCCACTTAAAGAAACCTCACATAGAGACACTGGACATTTAACTCAATACATACATTCCCCAGGCAAGTTTAAAGAGGTACACACTTTGTTTCACACTAATGGTAAAAGCAATAGATGACAAGAATGAGCTGTGGCCAAGGTCCAAAAGTGGTAGCCTGTGGACTGCTTTGCCCCTCATATATGTTTTATTTGGCTGGCACAGCACTAAAAATATAATCTGACATTTAAGAATTGGGATCTCTCTTGAAAAACTGGAAGTTCTGGAAGCACTGGGCCAGCAACCCTACACAGCACCAACTGAGTGAGGTTCAGAATCATCTGCTCCTGCAGATGGGACAGAGCACTCAGACCACAGCCCCAGCTGGCCTGCTTTACTTACTTGCCTTCTCTGCCTGGCCTCCCAGGCACTTGGGTTCGGGATCCCTGGATGATGTTATAAAGGTCACAGATCAGAGCCCTCCAGGGAGAACAAATGTGTGTGGAGGGAGTGCTTTCTATAGACACAGGAAGCTGTTATTCATTCTAATGTTGCTGGAGAAATAAAACAATAGTCAATGCCTTAGTGTTCCCTTTGATTTCAAGATGTTTAGGCCTTGACTATATTAGTCTTTTAAATTCAGCTTACTCTGATCTTTGGGAAAAGGTAAGAACCCTTTTTTTAAATCTAGGTCTCTTCCTGGATAGGAGAGGACAATAATGGATAAACAAACATTTATCTTGTTTATCTTACTACTTTATCCAAGAACCTCTAGTGCAAGTAAATGTTATAAATTTTAAAGTTCAAAAGGTTAAGCAATGGGAAAAAAATCTCGTGGTGAAATTCACTTCATTTGAAAGTGTACGCAGACGTGCTGAGATTTCTTAACAGCAGTGTATTCAAGGCAGCACAGCGCCTTCTGGCCAACATTTGCTTTTGGTCATCAATTTATCACTCTTCACAGCTACACAGGAGGTAGCAGAAATGTGATAGTGTTTTCTCCTAAGGTTCATGATTCTGTGAGGGCTGGTGAGCAGCACGTTCACGTCCACAGTTAATCACTGGAGCAGATGCGCCCTGGCTTTGCGGCAGGAAGGAACAGGTTCTGGAGTCCTGACTACAGCCCATTCTGCGCTGACACGATCATGAATACTTCTTTGGAGGCCCAGGGATACTCATTTGAATGAATTTATTTGATACATCCTCACTCCAGAGTTGTTCTTTCTATTATGAATGTTTCCAAATATATGGCAAAGCAAATGAAATGTGAGTTGAAGGCTGCTCTTGCTTTAAACTTTAGTGAAGTGCTCAGCCAAGAGAAGTTATAACTTGGCTGTGCTATGTCAGAGAGATCAAATACAGTTCATGCTCTCTGAGGGAAAACAGTTTTATAAACAGAAACTGGTGTTATCACTCGAACAAGCCCACTGAGACTGAGGAGGTAAGTACAAGAAGTGATCCCTCCTCTTTTAATGGCTCATTTTTTAGTCCCTCTGCACTTCTAAGCACTATATTTTAAAAATGTTGGTGGAAAAAAGTTGTAGCAGCAGAAATGATTCTGTTAGCAAGAAAAAATTGGAAAGAAGCAAAGATTATTTCTGTGCAAATGTCTCTTGTGTTGTTTCTGTTACAAGAACATTTATTTATTTATTTATATAAAGTCTCACTCAATTAAAAATTCATGAAGGCCTAGAATCTGGGTGTTTTATCCCCAGTGACTAAGGTCCATGCGCAGGCTTAGTGAAGCATAGCATTGATTGAGAGTTTAAATGTTTATTTAAAACAGAAATGCCAAACCACTCCACCCTCAACCTTTTGAACATCTGGCTAACAATAAGCTAGTTCTTTAGCAACAATGTCAGAGCAGAGGAGTAACTCAGGTTATACTAAAACTCAAAAGCAATACTACTGGCAAACTTCAAACACCTAGCACTGCATAAAGAGGAAAAGTAGGACAAATTTTAAGAGCTCTACAAAAAACCATTCAAAGGCATTTTTGCTGCCTCACCTTTCACTTTTCGTCTAATATATGGCTGCCACCTTTGAACTGGTTTCTGTTTGCATAGCTGTTTGGTGGGAAAAATCATGTGGCTGTCCCAGGCACAATTTGGGAAAGTGCAAATTGTCTCTAAGGCACAGAACTTAGATTCTCAGCCAGATTAATAGCAAACCTAGACTTCCCAAGGAAACATGCGAAAGAAAACGACCACAGCATTCCACTGCTAGAAAATGACTCCCCTCTGGAACAAGAGCAGGGCTCTCACCCTTCCTTCACTGCTCACTTTCATCCCACAGTCTCAGCAACGTGCCCATGTTCCTCAGTTCCATAGCAGAAGCAATACTCATGATGAACACCCAAACTGACCCTGCCTCTCAGGCCTGCTGAGATGGTGAGCATGAGGGACACAGGAACATGAAAGGCCAGTCAGTCCTTAAAAAAGTCAAAGTTGCATTTACAAGATGAACCAAAACCCATTGTTAGGGTTAACAGCAAACCCCTAAGTCCCCAGAACTTGTAACTTTAATCCAGGGTTGGCCCCTTCCCTTATTTTAAGAAAAGGCTTCAGTGATTACATTAGTACCATTGTACTAGGCTTCCCAGAATTGAGAAAACAATGGGAACATCAAACCAAAGAAGATCCCATTGAACAGAGTTGCCCGTCCCCAGCCATGGGGTTTTCCCCGAGCATCAGCCTTTACACCACCAGTTTTAGGGAAATGGCAAAATTTCCATTGCGCAGGTCCTTCCAAAATATTAAACAGATATCAAACATTCATTTTTTGGTTTGGGGAAAATGAGACAAAAATTAGTTGGTTGTAGGGAGGTATGATGTGAAACTCATCAAGGCAGCTCCTGGACCCCAAATAAGAAGGGAACATTTCATGTGTTAAAGAAACACAGAGTTCACATCCTTAAGTAGAACCACTGAATGCTTGCCTAGAACTTGACGAAGTTTTGTTCTTCCAGGACACTTTCTCTTTGGGGAAGGTGGCTTGCTCCTGTCTACAAGGACACAATGACTATGGGATTACAAGGGAGCTCTCGGCCAAATTCCTTTCACCTGGCAGGTTCTACCATTCTGTTAGGCTTCAGGGACTACTAGGGTTTGGTGCTGGCTTTGGGCCACTCAAGGAGGAAAGATGATACAGATTCACTGATATGGCTTCATAAAACACCAAAAGGGGAAAAATACTGACTAGACATATCGAAAGGGAGTTGTTGGGGCTGCTAATGTCAAATTTAGAACCCTAAGAGCCACGAAGGCAGAGGCTCAAGAAGCCTTCTTATGAGCAGAAGACTCAGTCACTCTAGGCCCTCTTGAAGATACCAAGTGAAGGAAGCTACAGGAGGACCTCCTTTCCCTCACAGTTTTCTCTTAAGGCCATTCCTACTGCCCCACTGACTCAATTCTCTATGAGATACCTCAACTCTTAGAGGTAACTTCCAAAGCTAGGAAATCCCACCGTGCATTAGCCACAGTCTGAAACTCCAGCTGTGTGACGAGGAGGGACCTGCCCTTCTTTCTCTACTCCTCACTGAAGAAATTTCAATCAACCCTCAGAGGAAAAGCAATCTAAGCCCACTTTTCCTCCTAAAGCATTTAGCTGCACGAAGTAATTGAACTTTCTGAAAACAAGCCCTACACTGACTCCATCAGACAAATTTTCCTAGACTCAGGACTCCTGAGAGGGCTCAGAATACTTCACCACTCTCCACATGACCCTGGATGGGCCACACTTGGTTCCAGCCCATTCCAGCTTTACACTTTTCCCCTCCTCCACCTAGAGGTGCAATGCCTGGTGTTGAATTCTTGAGGCAGCTTCCAATTAACGGTGAAAATGATAAATGGGAGATAAGCTGCTACCAGCGAAAATAAGGTGAGCACTGTGTCTCCTCTTCAAAGGTGGGATCAACAGATGAGGTACAGAGCTGCTGTGGCAGTCACTGAGGACAAAGCCAGGGCCATGGGGCCCTTCCATTCTCCAAAACAAAACCACTCCTAGATCCTATCTAAAAGGCAATGCCACTCTCCAAGTGTACATGGAAAGTGCTTCAGAGCCTCCACCTTGCGCTCCTTGTCTGCAAGTGAACAAAGCCAGGAAAGCGCTCTCTGCATTCAGTAAGTGTGCTGTGAAGTTCTTTGGATCCCAGTTTCCTGGAAGCTATACAGGCTCAGGAGACTAGAGGCTGGGTCGACAGGAGTCTGTTCCCAGGAGGCACCAGGAATCTGAATCTAAGTCAGGCTTTGGATCCATTTCCATCTCTTCCTTTGCTGTCTGAGTTCCTTTGGAATGCATCCCCACCTGTCAAGATAAAACACAGTTCTACATTAACAACACTGCCACCTAGTCACAGCAGTTCAGGAGTAGATTTTCAATGCCATCCTGTAAGGATTTGTAGCCACAGTTTTGTGAGAAGCTCATAACACTACCTTAGATAAAGGCCACACCTTTACATTTGCTGAAGGTAGGGTGACCAACTGTCCTGGTTTGCCCAAGACTGCAGGATTTTCTGGGATGCAGAACTCTCAGTTTTAAAACTGAGACAGTCCTAGGCAAGACAATTCTCC